TAACAGGTTTTTACCAGAAATGTCCCCACAATGTAATGTATATCTGACTGTCACGCACACGCACGCACACATACACGCTTTCTGGAGGCCCTATGCTCTACCCAGCTCCAACCCCGTGACCGATGCACTCTCCAAGGCACAGCAAAGGCTCCCCAGTCGCTGGAGGCTGTCCCACACGCCCTGCCCAATCCCATGCGAGGGCCCAGCCTGTGCATGTCCCCTCCCCAGGTGCCTCACAGCTCAAACCTCTCAGCTGGTTCAAAACAGCAGAAGGCAGGAAAACATCTCTCATTATGCTCACATAACGGATACATCTCACACGCTTGCTGCATGTCCGTGTGCCTGCTGGGCTTGCAGCCCAAAGGCTTTCTACCCAGCTCGCCTCTCCTTCGCCACGAGAAAGTCACTAACTGAGTCTTTTATCTTACATAAGGAATCACTTAGAGAAGGGTTCCTATTGAATCCACTGAGGGCCCTGATACACTCACAGTTCAGCCTTCTGCCTTATTATTGCATAATGCAACCATAAGGCGTGCACACCCATAACTTCAGGGCGTCCATTGGGTATGTCCCCGATTAAAAAGGCCCCATAACCCTTTCAATGACATGTCAAAATGTATAAAAGCCTATATTATGTGCATGTGTTTGTGGGGAGGGATTAAGCAAGAAAATGAAAGAGAGCTTTCTGATTCACAGCTGGCTAAACGTTCTTCATTGCCTGGAAGAAGTTAGATCAGGGTTGGATCTGGACCATTTGTGGTTCAAATCAGGAGCATCACATGGGATTCATGCAAAAGGTGGCTAGTTTGGGGCTGAAATCCCCTCTAAACAGCCCTAGTAGTAAACATGGTTCAACGCGTCAGTCTTTTTGGACAGGAGCTCAGTGTTTCTGTTAAAAAGAATTAGGTAAATTTACTGCCAGGATCACAGATAAAAGGCTGTTTTTTATTTAGTATCATGTAAAGAATGCTGCCCAGTTCCATCTCCGGTAACTGTGAGCTGAGGACAATGGCATAAGCCATTAAACCAAATCAATACTGCAGCGAGCCCCTCCTTCACCATGCCGTCTCTGCTGGCTCCGGCGGGGCAGACGGGGACACTCGTGCAGACGTGCCCTCTCTGTGTTTACCTGACGTTTCGTCTCCTCTGTCCACGCTCACATAATCAGCCCAGCCGGGGGTTCGGACTGACTGGAGAGCATGACTCAGCCTCTTCAGCAGCCACTCTCAGAACTTCTAATCAAGGCAAAAGTCTTGCGTTTCGACACAAGCCTCTAGTGTGCAACCAATTCGGTCTACAGTGTAGAACAGCAAACAAATCACTGAAGCAGAAGCAGGTCTGAACAAAACTCACAGGACTACTGGCAAATGCGATCACACAAACCTTAGCTCACTGGTTACCAGCTGGAATGGTGGCTTGTATTTGCACTGAAACACAATTTAATCCAGACCAGGCAATCAACTCCCCCACCACGGTTGGCAAATTTTATATATTTTTATTCAAACGCAGTGGACCTTGGCTTTCTGTTGCTGATATAATTTCATCCTTGGGGAAAAATAGCTGGGGACTCCTGCTGTAGCCCAGGACCCTGTGCACAAACTCCCATAATGCATTAAGCTCAACTGGCCCTGACCACTGACTGTCTCCCCCTCCCCCCAAAAAAGAAAAAAATGAGATAAGAACCGAACCATGGATTTGAAGAATCGTTACACTGCTGCTCCTTAGTTTACGGTCATAAAGAGCCCTGTCCCTGTTTTATTTGCTGTGTCTCAGCATGAGACACCCAGGTTTTCAGCCAGCATAAGACCACAATCACCTGATAGTGTAGGCAGGATGCATCAGGCCAAGTGGGACACTGCGGAAAAACCGGGATCACGGCTGCACACTCAGGTGGTCAGCTGGATCCTCTCCACATAGGTGCATGTCGCGGTTAGGCCTTCAAAGAGAGTACACTCCCAGCAGCCACTGCAACAGCTAGAGCAGGCCTCTGGTGCTGATGTCTGCTTGCTAACTGACGCAGATCCTTAACAGGACACATTGTTCCATGACACACCAGAGAAAACTCCTTGCGTTGGATTCCTCAACACAATATTGCATAAATATCTCATTCTGATGATATTTTAATACCCTGTAGTTCATGGTTGATGTCTGTACGACAAATATATAACAGATGTGCTGGGTGTGGCAAGTCAGCTTAGAATGATCTCGATCAAAACATGGCTGAGTGTGATTCTGTATCTGCCGTTTTGCTGATCAGTAATTCTGTGTCCTGTTTAAAAGCACCGGCACCTAACATTATTATAAAACCCCAGAGGTAGGATGATGGTTTTCATCTCTTTGTTCTGCTTGCTGGAGGATGGGGACTTATAGGGGGGATTTGGGGGGGGAGGGGCGTCAAGTTCTTTACATGCTCTTGCATTAAGGCGGGAATTGCTAGCATCTTGTTCTTCTGAAACCGCACTTTAAAGTAGAGCCATGTTGCCATTTGTGATTACGAGGCGTTTCTTATAATGGGATTCAAATTTTGTAGCAACTATGGAAAATAACTAGATGCACAAAAAATGGATTTACCTCAACAGACTGGTGAATTTTGCATGCTTGTCTAAACTTTAATCACAACCTCAATAAACACTTGAAACATTTTTTAGAAATAAGAAATCTAAGTAATAAACGGCATTTATATGTTCAATCTGTGTTTTGTTTTGACAACGATACAATAACTTATGTTTCCTTCAAATAACGGTACTTCTTTATAGGAAACTCGACCATACATCTGGCCATAGGTCTGCACTAATGTTGTTCTACTTAAGAAGCATCAGCTTACAACATCCTGGTACTTTGTCTTCAGTTTGGACGGCACATTGACTGGAAAAATCAACCTTTTCTGTTTCCAGATGTTAAACATTGGGACCCTCTTGCTCCTACGTCAACAGTGAACGTGAAGACATCATTTTGAGGGGGTCTGGTTTTAATCAGGAATACTCGCCTTCCTCTAGCCCCCTGTGTTTTGTGTTTACTCTTGATTGTCTGCTCAGTAGTTTAGGAAAACTTGGGCCAGAAAATTATCTAAGCCAGGAAGGAGGATCAGTCCAACAGGCCCTGCCCTATGATAGCACCCAAGGACTATGAACAAACAGCCACACAGATATCACACTGGTTCTTCATACAAGGGTGCTGCATGGGTAGCTCACATGGGAACCCATGTCTTTGTGATGACGTTCAGCGTTTGCTGCTTAATGTGTTTATTGTCGATAAATGTTCCTGCCAAATGAACCAATGTAAATATTAATCAGAGCCCCATCTCTGGTACTGTGATGACAGGCTCTAGAAAACATCCATACAATGTGGATTGGCTTGAGGACACTGGGAACTGTGGACTGAAATTTTCATGTCGGTGGGATAGGAGGGAGGGAAAATGTGGAGGGTGAGTTGTTATGATACACGACGTCACAATGTCAGAGAATGCAATCAGCATGGAATAAACAAGATAATTGAATTTATCCATTAGTCATGAGTGGCAGCACCAGACCATCCCAGTAATGGCCAAATAAAACCAAGATCTAATATGAGGGATGGATGCAGGAGCCCAGATTACCCACAATCCCTCTGACAGCTGCCTGTGGGCATTATTCTTGGGTGAGTGGAACATCAGGCTGATAGGAAATGTAGGGAAACTGCAACAGCCAAAATAGACGAAGAGAGGGAAATACAATATTATCAGAGGCGGACAAACCTATCTGGTAGACAATGGTATTGGAGTGTTTGATATTGGGGGGACAACTTAATTTAAATACAAAGATCTATTTATAGGTAGGGGACATGAAGCCAAATTAAATATTAGGGGGGTACACACCCCCCAGTTTCCCCAGTTCCTATGTCCCTGCTTGTACTAAATTCTTTGATCCTGTTCAATAAAAAGGCACTGCTTCATCAGAGAGCCATACGTAAAACTTGGTCCCAGAAATAACAGCTTTAAGCAAGGTGTTTAAAAAATCTGAGCCATTTAAATGAGTAAAAGTGGTGCACACCAGGGTGCCCTTCACTGGACAGCGTCACCTGCAGTGTTATGCTGATTTGCATGTTTTCCAGCACTGCTGTGAAGGATGTGGCACAAAACTGCACGGACAGTGAGGGGAACAGAGAACATCTCTGAGGAGACACTCACTGAGTGGAGTGCACCTGTTACCACTGAGGGACGAGCAGTGAGCAGGGCTGAACCGCCCTCATCCTCGCACAGTATATTTTAGTAAAAATACAGTATTCTCTCTTACGCAATCGATGCATTTGGCTCCTGCAGTGGCATTGCTGTGAGTGGGAGTGACAACTTGCCCACAGATGAAACCGTTTGATTCGCTCTGTTCCCTCCCACGCCAGAGCCTGCGGGGAGGCTTGCCGGGCGACAGGAGGGCGGCGTCCCATGTGTCCATTGTCACTCCGAGGAATAAACTCCTTAGGGACCTTCTGTGCTAAAAATCTCAATGAATGCTTAATTGGCATTGAGGACATAATCCTCTTTTAACAGGAAGTTTGCTCGGTCTAACGGCACTGGATTGGTGTTCTCTGCTTCCAAGCACCAGCACGGGTTCCAGAGTCCTTTTTGGATGTACACCAGCATATGCACATGAAGGCGTTTGCCTAGAGATCCAGAAACATCTGTGGGGAGCTGGACCATTACGAGTGCCTGAAGACCAGATTCAGTCAAAGATTGCACACCGAGACTCATAAAACAAAGAATAAGAGTATTTTGTGGACCAAAACGAAGCGTCTCAACAACCAGTCCTCTCCTGTTTTTCGTTTTGTCCACAAAAATGACCACAGACACATGACACCAGGCGACGTTTTTCCTCCAGCAGGCCGTAGGATTTCCTGTCGCCTCGGACAGGAAAGCGGTGCTTCACCAGCGAAAGCTCACATGCTGCGCTCCGCTTCCTTGGCCTGTACCCATTGTGTTCAGGGTGGGGACAAGCTGTTGATTTAAACTTCGGCCGGGTCCTACTCACATGCAAGCTACGAATTCCCGAACTATGTACACATTGAGGCAGAGGTCAACAGCAGACAAAACACTGAAAAAAAAATACACAGCTACAACTCAAACACAACAGTCACAGTTAGTGTGTATCTTCTAATCCATCACCGCATCACCTGCTGGAAGCGGGGACACGATTGTATCATCTCGGCCAATTACGAAAGCATCCTGCATGACAGCTTAGCAGGCTCCCTAACCTGCCTGGCGTATGAAAGCTGGAAGCCTTCACTGAAACGCAACACGCCCACCACTGATGTGGGTGCAACTTCCCACTCTTTGCTCTAAAGGGCACATGCATGCCACACGACGCAGAGGCGGCCCAAGGCCGCCAGCTCCCCACAGAAACGCTGAGGCAAGGACACAGGAAAGGAGGAAAAGGCCAGATGAATATGGATTCATATCACCGACTGAAAGGGCACAGCTACGTTATCCTGTCTTCATTTTATCTGCCTAACAATATTCTTAGCTGCTATATCAAAGCTCACCAAGACAGACAGACTAAAGTACATTTAAAAAAAATGTACTGAAATGAAATGAAAAATAAAGAGAAGCTCCGTACGGAACTCCCGAACATCAAATAGCAAATTAAAAATGTTGGATTTTATAAATTATAGGAAAGACTTCTCATCTTTTTTTAACACACACACATATATATATATATATATATTTTAAATATGTGCAACAACAAAATATATGCTAGTGAACTTCAACCACACGCGACTCTTGAGATCACGACTGGATGGATGCCTGTCTTTTAATAGGGACATCTGCGCATAATTTTTTTGTTGTAACTCGCCAAAAACATGCTCATTTCCTGCATTTTATATCGGCAATAAAACGACATTTTTCTTGCTACATTTCTGCATCTACGCCAAATCTGTCAAACAGCGCATGGCGACGAGGCGTGTTTGGTAGTGATACGGCTGCTTCGCTGCGCATATGATGCGCTCCGCTACATATCCGCACATATCAAAATATACATCGGTCATGATTTAATATATCCTATGTGATCCTGATTCAAAGGTCAGCCGGTTTAACGGTCTTTGCACGAAATAAGCGATGTACGGAAGGTGAGCCCTACCTTTTCCACGCCTGAAAATACTGTCCTCTTCTATACAAGAAGAGAAATCCGCCTTCCTCCTTATTCCACAAACCAGCAATTGAATCCCTTCTGCCTTTAATTCCCCGACCAGGGCTCTGGAGCCGGGCTCCGTTAAGATAGCGGCGGTGCGCGTTGCTCCCGTGGCCGCCCCTCGCACAGCTGGCCCAGTCAGCTCCTAAGGAGGAGCATCGGGCGGTGGAGAAGCGGGGTGTGGAGGGCGTTAGTCTGGAATCATGACATTGCACAATTCCGTAAACCCTCACTGTCACCAAAAACAAATATGCACACAAAAATGTCACTGCGTTTCTGCTTTGCTTATAACCAGCGCTAAATGATCTCCACAGCACACCGTCCACGGAATGTACGAGGGGCTGACGCTGCTTAGACTTTTATCACAAGGGCTTAATAAAAATAAACACATCAAATAAATTACATAAATAAAATACTCCCCCAAAAGCGTCTACTCGGATACCATAAATTACATATTTAGCATGGTTAGCGGGAACGAAACACTCCTATATTTCTCACGGACAGTATAAATCAAATTACATTCCCAGGAGGTTTTATTTTAAACATAATTTTTGCTATGCCAGCTATTGTGTACAGCAAGTTATAATATTTTCAAATGTTATTCTGAGAAAACTGCACAAATGTGGCTATAGCATCAGCTCTAGAAGGGGTTACCGAAACTACAGACACAAATTTGTTTTTGTAATTATGTAATAATAAAGACATTAAATTTTGTATTGGTGGAGAATTTATATCATTTAGTATTATTTTTTTCCCATTTCCTTACTATGTTGCACACACAGGGAGCAGGCCCATTGTCAGAGTTGGAACTTAAAAGGCGATTAACGTAAAGAACATTTAGTGCCCTCAAACTTGCAGTGAAACAGGCTTTAATGACTCTATCTCTAACTCTAAATGCGTGTAGGTAGGTATGTTAGTATGTATGTATGTAAATGGAGACCGGTGGTTGAGGGATTACTTTACGACAAACTTATCTTAATATGAAAATATCCTAAGGTGAAAATGCATTTTAATACAGAACACCTAACAAACCTAGCCTAGCCTAGCCTACCTTAAACACACTTAGAACAATTACATCAGCCTATAGCTGGGCAAAAATCATTAACACAAAGTCTAATTTAGGCTTATAAAAAGTATTTAATATCTAATATCGTTTATTGAATAATGTACTGAAATTGAAAAATATTTACCCATCCTTAGTGAAAATACGGTAACACGGACCATAGTAAACTGGGGGTCTGTAATCTTGTAGGGCGGCGTTGCTGTGGGTGCCAGGGCTGCCTGTACTGTATGTCTGCAGTTTGAATGTTACCCTCATGCCATGTGAAGCTGTCTGCACTGGCATGTATTTCGGCTATTTAGCGATTCCATATTGCCCATAGGATGCCCCCCGTAAGCAGGTCCAGGATAGGCAGTTAGAATTTAACTAAAATGCGCTAGTTAAAAATGTAGATAATACTTGTTTGCCATTTGTACAAGGTGCATAGGAATTCTCGAATTCTTTGGTTTTTGCACACCCCAGTATTACTTGTAAACAGAGTTTTGGGTGTCAGAGCACATGGTCAGGCGACATGCAGTACCCCGAGAGCAGCTGGGGTAGAGGGCTTGGTCATGGACCCAGCAGTGGCACGATTACTCTGCTGCACACTGGATTCAAATCCACAGCCTTCGGGACATGGACACAAATTCCTAAACCACTGAGCTACACAACGTCCCCAACTAAAATTACTCTCTAGTAATCTGTGAAAGACAAGACAAGTCAGAGACCCCCCGTGGCCCTGCATAGGACAAGGAAAATAAATGGATGAATGAATGAATGAATGAATTAATGTTTTAACTCATTACAAAGAAAAATAACCTCAAAAGCCGCAAGTTTGCATAAGCTGATTATGGTACACAGTCACCATCTGCTGGGAAACATGATAACTGCATGTCATTGCATGTCGTGTTAAATACTTACAGTTGAATTACTACATTGACATTTAATATGACGTCCTACGAACACATATAAATCACACAAGTCAATGAGCATTGCTAACCCTGATCATTCAAAAAGTTATAGCAGGCTTCAATTAAAAAATCGTGCCGACTTATTACAAGAAATGCCGGGATGGTTGTGATATCGGACCAGTGAAACAGGAGGCAGTAAGTACAAAAAACAATATAACCAGTGTAATTTTCAGTGGGTTTAATCATTTAAACAAGTGGAAAACTGCTGTAGAACAAGAGAAAATACAAATTTAATTAAATAAAATGTAACATATCTCTATGACAACAAAGCTACACTTTTAATTTCAAATAACAACACCCGCTTTGAACTAAGTTAGAAATAGCCCAAAAATAAAACTAGGGTGTTTAATCTGCACTCTGATCACTGAGGTGAAATACTATTCTTCTGTGATTCACTGTTGTGTAATACTGATTCTATCTGCAATATTATTCCTCCTTACCTACTGCTGTACAATACAACATTCCATTGACCCAGTGCAATACTACTCATGTTGTAGCATCTATTCGGATGCTAATATCTGATACATGTGCAACAATGCTAAGTACAATGAGAATGTGTAAAAGTTATATCACTGTTTTAATTATTCCTATAATATTTAGTAATACACTTGCTGTTTTAGTGTCATTATATATTTATATATATTTTTTAGATTGGAAATTAAGTTGTTTGTTGTTAATGTGTCCCTCTGCTGTAACAAAGGAATTTATCCTATCGTATTTATTAAAATGAATAATAAATGCATATCGATATCCACAGCTTAAGGCATTATGATTTATATATACACCAATTAACCATAACATTAAACCCACTGACAAGTGAAGTGAATAACATTGATTATCTCATTGCAATGGCACCCGTTTAGGGTGCCATTATATATTAGGCAAGTGAACAGTGAGTTCTTTAAGTTGATGTACTGGAAGCAGGAAAATGAGCAAGTGTAAGGACTCTGACAAGGGCAAAATTCTGATGGCTAGATGACTGGGTCAGAACACCTCCAAAACAACAGGTTTTGAGGGGTGTTACTGGTCTGCAGTGGTCAGGACCTATTATAAGTGGATCAAGGAAGGCGAACTGGTGAACCGGCGATGGGGTCATAAGCAGCCAAGGCACACTGATGTGCGTGGAGAACGAAGGATAGAAAGATGTCAGAACACACAGTGCATTGCAGCTTGCTGTGTAGCTGCAGACCGGTCAGAGTGTTCATGCTGATCCCTGTCTACCTCCAAAAGCGCCTACAATGGGCATGTGAGCATCAGAAATGGTCCAATGGAAGAAGGTGGCCTGGTCTGATGAGTCACATTTTCTGTTACATCATGAGGACGGCTGCGTGTGTGTGCATTGTTTACCTGGGGAAGAGATGACACCAGAATGCACTATGGGAAGAAGGCAAACCAGCGGAGGCAGTGTGACGCTCAGGGCAAAGACATGCTGGGGAACCTTGGGTTTTGGCATTCGTGTAGAAGTTGCTTTGACACGTCTGCAACAATTTTTAGACAGGTGGCACTACATGCCTTCCGAAACGGCAGTGGCATCTTTTAATAGGATACTGCCACACTGCAAAATTTGTTCAGGAATAGCTTGAGAAATATGAAAAAGAATTTAAAGTGTTGATTTGGCTTCCAAATTCCCTTGATCTCAGTCCGATAGAGTATCTGTGGGATGTGGGAATTCAATCCATCGAGGGCCCACCTCGCCGCTTACAGGACTTAAAGGATCTTCTGCAATCGTCTTAGTGTCAGATACCACAGGGTACATTCAGAGCTCTTGTGGAGTTTATGCCTCGCCAGGTCAAAGCTGCTTTGGCAGCAAGAGGAGGACCTGCACAATATTATAGGCAAGTGGTTTTTTTAATGTTACCGCCAGTACATGACCGTATAACACATGCTACGAAAGATGCAACCATCTTTAACGTTACGTCGCGTTCATTCGACGTCACTGCTGAGTCGAGAGGTGAAAGTGCACAGCAATGGCCGCGGAGAACGGACTTGCTTCGTTGGTGAGAGATTTTATGATTGAGTTAATTGCGTTGAAATTTCCCATGGAAGCCCTTCACAGGTGTAACCATTTTAGTTATTACGTAGACGGTGCTTTTTGGTTTACACAAAACCGTAACTGCCACGACAACTGCAGCCACGCTTCAGCGTGCACGCTAAATAATTGCGTTACGTTACTTATTTCTAGAGATCTTTGATTACCATTAACAAGGGACTAATCCTATTGTACATGTTTGGCGACTTTTACATGGCTTATGATAATACGTCGTATGCGGTTCGCCCGCTTATGTCCGGTTACAGTGATTAGCGTCTGTTTTTTTGGGATGTAATGCTTGAGCACGTGCCGTTGCAGGGCGTGGACGGCGCTACGGCGGCCGCGCATGCTCTGTCGCTGCCAGCAGAGGCATATGACAATGATGTGAGTACCATGATGTCTGTTTGTTTACTGATGACCCACATTTACAACAGGCTCTCCTTGAACAGCATTAAATATAACCCACCACACTCCCCTTTATTATAGTCCATGGAAACGAGGTTTGGAAGTGATGACTTATAATATATAGGGATGTAGTGCTTCTAACAAAAAGTCCAGCATGAGAGAGAATTCTAAGCTGTACATTTCTTATGTAGTTAGTGAAATAATATACACCATAAGTACCTGCTCCAAAGTAGCAGGACAGGCCCCTAATTACAGGCAAAACTGTGTGATTGTGTGAATGTGCATTGTGAAGAATATCATTGGAATAATACAGCACCCATCATAGAACCCAGATCAAACCACAGACATCTGAATGTCGTGTAATGTGGAATTAGGGCAAGCTCAAACTGCAGCAGGACTGAAACGAGGCCCAAGGTGGGTCATGATAATGTGTTTGGTCACTGCAGGTTTTTATTTTTGTGTTTAATGCCAAACGTTTCTCTTGTTTTAGCCTCAGCTGGAAATCATGTGGGCGATGAAGGCATACCAGCATGCCGAAATTTACTTCAATGTGAGTAGCACAGTCTTAAACATCACTTTACATTGTTAACAGAGGTCAAAGTAAAGAAACAGCAGAAGTCTTGCTAATTTATAAAGCCGGATAATTCACAGTGAAATTTAGGTTAAGTGTTTGTTAAGGGTTCAGCTGCAGGACATATTCAGATGACGGGGCCCTCAGCCATTATGGTAACACTTTGGATGTAACATGCTGCTTTTCACAGTTGCTTTGTGCTGGTTAACTTGTTGGCTCTGTTGAAATGAAGCTCAGAGTCTCGCTGTCATTGGATGCTGTGGGGATGGTACTTACTTCCTGAGGTTTGCTGATCTGTTAGTGTGTGCGTGCCATGATGATGCACTTGTTGAACAATCGCAAAGCCATGCGCAGCGCATGTGAATTTTTTTGGGCGCCAACTCTGAATGATGAATCTTGGCATGCAAATGGTTTATCAGCCTTTTGCTTTTTACTCTCCTCATAGCTCATCTCTTCAGTGGATCCAGTGTTTCTAAAACTTACTAAAGTTGACGACAAAATTTATACAGCTTTCAGAGAGACCTTTAGTGAACTAAATATTCAGGTTCTGGACCCCGAACAGCTGAAATCGACAGAGGCTAAAGAGGTAAATTTTAACAGTATTGTTTTGCTTTGCTTGTGTGGGCTCAAACAAATAATTTTAAAAGTAAAACATTTATTTATTTCAAGAAATGGAGGCCATTTTGCAATCAGTTTGATGGGGTTGTAGAAGACTTCAACTACGGAACATTGCTTCGCCTTGATTGTCAGAAGGACTACACAGAAGAAAACACCATCTTTGGTAAGTGCTAGTGTTCTCTTATGTTATATACCCTGCCTGCCCAAAAAAGAAGTTGCACACTTTAAAATTTCGGTGGACCGAATTTAGTTTTGATTATGGGGCACATTTGTCCATGCAATTTGTCAAAAAAAAAAATTTCATCCAGATTTGCATTCATTTCTCATTGAGATCTTGTATTGATGATAGGTGATGCAACTCCATAAAGTCTTCTTCAGCACATCTCGAAGATTTTCAGTGGGGTTAAGGTCAAGACTCTGCGGTGGCCAATTCATGTGTGAAAATGATTCCTCATGCTCCCTAAACCACTCTTTGACTATTCGAGCCTGATGAATCTTGGCATTATCATCCTGGAATATGCTCATGCTGTTGGGAAAGAAAAAATCCATTGGTGGGATATCCTGGCCATTCAGGAGATTCAGTTGCTGAGCTGTAATAATGATCCAATCACTGGCTCTTAAATACTTGCTGATTTAAATTCAAATGGTGACAATTTTTTTGGCCGGGCAGTGTAGTTTGTTTGGTCAGCCATAAGGTTTTCACTATGCACACCTTTGACACCTATGCCGTAATTGCCGTTACAGCCACCCGGATCCAGTTTTTCGCCATTGAGATCGCCAGGAACAGGGAGGGTTACAACACCGTAATCTACAGCACTAAACAGCAAGCTAAAAAGGATGAGAAGAAATGATGAAGCTCCCCTTTGAGTGGCCTCTTTACGCATATGTCAGGACCATCTTTCAGAAATGACCTTCCATATGTGTCTTCAATTGGGGATGTTGCTTGTTGTCTGGATTTATGTCTTGTTTCCTGTGGAAGTCATAGGAAGCCACCTGAAGGAGGGGAATCAAATAACTTATTGTGTGCTTGCATGCTCCATGACGAGCATGTGTCCTACATTCAAACTGCGAAGAAGATTTATGATTTAGCCACATTAGCTTGGCTGCACCCACTTATTTATGTGGTTACCATGGCATAAATACCAATAGCTACAGTTCATTTTTTGACTGATTCTACCCGTTTTATATGAAAATGCAGCTGTTCATAAAACAGTATGTTCCTGGAAAGTGTGAACTATCATACACTGGCACTGTAACACACATTTTCCACTGAGAAGTTATAAGGGATCGCTAATGTTTTTTTTTTTTCTTTTTCACCTATAACTTGGGGTCACAACCATGTGGAAAACATACATCCCATAAGCCGGACACATTTGTCTCTATTTTACATCTTGCAAGGAGTTCAGTCGTCATAAGATGTTACTCCATAACCAATAAATGCAAGTGTGGTAGACATTGTTGTATCTGGTATACAAAGATTCAATGGTTTTGTTTAGAATAAAAATCCAGCGAAAACAGGAAGTGAAATATACAGATCCAATAATCTGCACCGAATGGTAATGTGTGTTTTCAGCTTGTCTGTGACGGTTTCTTTTTAACATGGGTATTTCCAAATTGTTACTATAATGGAGCAACTTTGCATTGATTTATTTAGCGCAGACTTGTGTCCAATTTAGAAAGCAAGGCCGCCGGCCACTGGACCCGTTGAGGTTAAGGGCCCAATGGTGAAATTACTCTGCAAATCATGGCACTTGAACCGCCAAGCCTTCTGATCTTGGGCATCCACAGAGCCACATGTCACCCCTAGTTTATCTATAGATGGGCACATTTATAATGCACAGTAAAACCACACATTTTAGTACAAACCAATGACATTTATTTTGCACTCACAATGCAAGCTTACACTATATGTAGCAGACATCCAGACAGTTCAACCAGATACCTTATCACTCGATGGACCCAACACACAGTTGCCAAAAAGACACATTCACATCTGGAAATGGGGGGGGGGATAAATGAATATCCATGAGTGTTGAACATAATTACTTTCTTACAAACTATTAGTAGCAACACATGTTGAGAAGAGCATATGTTGCCAATATAATCCATTCTGAATTGTCTTTATTCCCCTTAAATCTACCATAATTTTTTTTTTGCTCTTTTGAAAAATAGAAGTGGGATCCTTCAGAGATGAATCGGTAGGGGGTTTGGAGGTGATTGGCAGGAGCTCAGGTGAGATTAGACCACTGTGACAGATCTGCTTGTGGGGATGTTGTACCAGGTCTTCAGCAGTACACGACTGCAGAAGATACTTTAGGCTTTGCTACCAACATGCCTGCTCAACAAATAAGTCACGAGACAGAAAGCCTGGGAGATTAAACTCTGTAGCCACCAGTTAAGAGTTCATAGAGAACCATGTACCTACATCCTAAAGACTTTTTAAACTGATTTCAGGAAAGATGTACAACTTTATGAGCTTATGGTTGGTATGTATGTCTGCACATGTAGGTGGAGTTACTGCACCGGACCCAATAAGCCCTAATCTACAACTATGCCACACATTCAGCCAACCACAGATGTGCAGTTCAGCATCCAGACCAATCAGAATATTCAAAATGCAACTTGAGGTCGCAACTAAGCAGGCCCCAAAGCTAGACCTGCACTGCAAGCAGAGTGCTCTGGTTTTGGGGTGTGGGGGGGGGGGACACACCCCCACAGCTGCCTCAAATATCACTCTGGCAAACCCCAAGGAAGGAACAACCAACCAACTCCGACTCCAATCCGCACCAGTCTGCCGAACTCCAGGAGTTTATATGTACAGATTCTTCCACACCTGGATCATCCCAAAGTTAACAGGAAAATATACAACAGGTTAAATGATTACACCCGCATCAGTACCCCCCCCACCCACCCCAGCTCCATTGTTCCATGCATTCGGAAATCGGACACATCTCACCTCCCAGATATAATATTCTTCATACAAACAAACCCGCACTGTTGCACTAACTTACTGTACTGTAAAAATTTCAATCACACTTTTTTCCTTTTTTTTTAAATTGAATTAATATAAACATTGTTCAAAATGTTATGAAAAAATGTACACTTTTTTTCCTTGTGATTTATTTTTTTTGTTTTGTACAAGGCAGGCAGAAGCAGTGTTCTACAGATACCAGCACCCCCTTCCCTGTCTGTCCTTCTCTCACACTGTCTCTCATACATGAGGATGCTTCCCACTCAGGAAGTCCCTAAGAATTGTCACACAAGCCCCACCCCCCCAAACTCCTCCCCTCTCTCTTTGGACTTTGAGCCCCAATTGTCAGTACGGTCAGAACAGTGACCTCTAGAAACTGGCTTTAAAATATATAAGTATATATATATTTATATATATATATAAAAAGGAAGGGTTGGGCTGCGGGGGGAAGGGGGGTGGAGGGGGTTGAGTTTAGGGGAGCAGGGGATGGGCTTAAGGTCAAAGGAGCAGGAGATGCAGGTCTGTGTGATGTGTTCCCCTGGCATCCAGGCCGAGGGGGTGGGCCAGGAGACGGCTGCGAGGGGGGGGGTGGCTTTTCCGAGGCAGTGCAGCCCACGGAGGCGGGGGCGGGGCCAGGAGGCTTGCCGTGAGGGCGAGGCCCAGTGCTCTGTGGAATGTCAGCTCATCATGTCGTTGCTGTTCACCCCGTACGTGGAATTCTTCATAGAGTCGTTGACTTCTCTTCTAAACACAGAGAGGTTCTGCGTAAACCTGGAGGAGACATGGAGTGGTAAAAAACTAATGAGTATTTCACATTTTTAAAGAGTATCATTAGGGCATCTACCACAGCAGGCTGCCTGTTGCTCATGTTCCTCAAATAGGTTCCCCTCCCTCTTTTGGTTCATATCTTCTAAAGTAATTTCATTTACTTGCCCACTGTTGTCTTCCAGAACTTTCCACACTGCTACTTCTAACTACCTGTCCTTGGGTTTGCCACTGGTGTAATTGTCAATTTAAAAAGTTTGTCTACTTCAGATGTTTTTCGTAGCCATGCTGAGGAGGGTAATATAATGATTTATTAAAAAGAAACGAATACAGCGTCATGCTGCTGCTCTTTTTGTTATGAAGAAATCAGCAGTCTTTGGTCATTCTAGATAAACCACGATTCAAGGCAAAGAGAATAAGATTAAAAAAGGTAGATTAGACCTGGATGGAAAAACGAGTCCTTAGAACATTCCGCGGGGTGATCGCCCGTTGGTCAGATATTCCCGATGTTCCTTAAAGCCACGACTCCCTCCCAAACAGGACGGACATGCCAAAGGTAAAGCATACATACCGGTCCCTGTTTTTGGTCAGCAGGTTGCGCTCGATGCCTTCCATCAAGTTTTCGAAGCACAGATGCATGGCCTGCTGCTTTTCAGGGGGCTGGCTGTTCACGATGCTGTTCCGCAGGTCAGCAAAGTACTGAGGGACACAACAAAGGAGACCTTCAGGGTGGGACAATCCTGGACAGCAGTCAAAGCCTGACACAGCGTTCCACCGGAGAACACATTGTTTGAGTAGTTTGGAGCGACTACTGATTTACATGAACTTCTATGCCAGGGTATATACCCAGAATGCCTGTAATTATTCTATACCTGAGCCACCAAAAATAAAATCATATCCAAATAATACAGGAAGAGAAAATTGATGACAGAATTAGAGATGATCTAACTTGTACCGCACATCAATTGCAGGCTCCAGACAGACCATGTGATCATTAAAACACATCAGTTTCCAGAACTTTATGAACATGCGGCGATGGCTGAGGAGCAAAGCGCCTGATAGCCGATTATGTTTTGCCGCACGAGCACTTCCAAGAATGCAGTGATGATGTCTGCTTTGGGTTTGTGTGTTTTAGAGGATTACGTAAGATCAAATGCAGTGGCTGCATAATGATACACAGAGCCTCTAATGGCTCATTAGGGAGAGAAAAACCGAAATATGCCTCAAAAAGTTTGGGGGGGGGGGAGAAAGACTTTCTCTTAGTGCAAGCAGTGCAATTACCTTCTCGTTTAGCAAGATCAAGCCAAGCAGAGGTCTGGACATTGACCACTGATTCCGACAGTCTTCAAAAATGATAATGTTTAGTACGGTTGACAGCATCTGAAAGAAACAGACATTTTTAAGTGGGATTTCCTGTCAAAGGGAAAAAACGGTTACAGACATCAGTGTTATGGGGCAAACGGAACAGTTTCCAGAGTCTGGTTCTCATGTGCTCTTGTTTGTAAAGATAAGTCGCTAAAAGAGGTTCTGCAGCCACCTGCTGGATCATCTCAGGATGCTGCTGCATGATGTGCAGGAAGCGGTCGCTCTCTTGCGTCATGGGGGCGGGCCTCTTCTTAGTGCTCCGTGACAGCTGCTTGAACAGGTACGTGACTATATGGTCCAGGCTGGAGCAGCATCCTGTGCACACCATGGTGTCTGGGGAAGGGAGGGAGGTTCAGTTACATGAATGACAGCAAATACGATAAGCCAAAGATAAGCTAGCCTCACCCCCACGGCTACAAAGTCTGGCCAAAAGATGACTAGGCAATATTTCCTCCCTTTTCTCAGTGTGAACATTCAAGACAATTAGCAGCTAATGCTTTCTCATGGATGCAGGAGACCTACAGCAGCAGATCTCTTACCAAGGGCTGTCAGTCCCTCTGAGATGGAGGACAGGATGTACATGATGACATGGGGCTCAAGACTGGCGATGAAGTTCATGTGATCCTGCGTCAGAACCTCCAGTAAAGAGTAATAGGACTGACTGAGCTTTGGGTAGTCCTGTGGAAGGGAACACAGAATAGACCGTCAGTTAAACTACAACTGCATGTGGGAGGAGACCAAAAGGTTTTGTAATGGAGTTACTGGAACCACATATACATATATCCACTGCTGCTTCATTATGCAGAAGCAATCAGACTTATTCAGAAGTAATCTGAGTAACCATGCCCATCATCGAGCAAGGCCACACCCACTGACACACCCACACCCACTCACAGACACACCCACATATGACCACACCCACTTCCAGACACACCCACATGTAACCAAACCCACTGTCAGACACACCCACTGTCAGACACACCCACTCACCAGCAGGTCACTGTGGGGTATGGAGAGCAGCAGTTTGATGAAAGTCTGCAGGGCATTGTCGAGCGCATCGTCCCCGTATAGCCGAAAGACGCCGAAGTTGACGTAGTTGCCGCTCAGCACTGCCTTGAGCATGGAGAAGCAGATGGAGATCCCTTTCAGCTTGAGAGCGTACACCTGATCCTTCGGCACCTCCCCTAGTGTAAGGATACGGTTTCCTGTGGAGGGAGGAAATAAATTACTCAACGCTGGAAGACAAAGGGATCGCTTGTGGCCGCTCCGAGTAGCCTTGGAAACTGCGGCCCGAGGAGGCATTAGCTTACCATTCCCACGTAAGCCATTTCACCGGCTTGAACAGAAGTCTGCGACAGTATGAAGGCTTTAACAAGGAACCAGGAAAGATGCATAAACTTACTCCACCTTTATTCGTTTATGTTTGAAAAGGTTTCTATCCAAAACACATGCACAATTTCTATAAATACACTTTGTTCCTCAGTAGCCCCTACGTAAAAATGCTTTTCCAATTTAGGGTCAAGCAGAAGGACAGCAGGTCACGGAGGTGCCGGCCAAGCCTACCGTATGTGGTGATCATCTTGCTGGTTTCCCGGAAGAGCAGAATCCCATTGGGTGATGACACGTCGAACTGCAGCCTCTGTGACCTGGGGACACGGTGAGCGGGGCAGGTCAGCACAGCGCGCCGTGACTCGGCCTCAACATCGGCTACTGCAGACCGATCTGAAGCCCGATCCGTTCCTACCTCTCGCCAGATTTATAGGTTCCGTCACACTGCAGTAAGCCTGAGGCACATGGGCTTGAAACCACAAACTATTGAGATGTCAGCCAAGTGGAAAAGGCTTTAAACTGGAAACTAAAAGTAGCCCAACAGCTGCATTAGTAGCATCCTTTCCACAGCAGGTAGCAACAGAGTGTCAATCAATACAATAAATCTAATTAGGCACTTGCAGAGACATAAGGAAGAATACTGCGGAATTGTGAGGAATGCCCTGACGCCTACCGTATGTGTAAGTATATTTAAATATTTATTAAAAGATCATATAGGGCAGTGTTTCTCAACCCAGTCCTCAGCAAACCCCAGCCAGTCCACGTTTTTGCTCCCTCCCAGCTCCCAGCGCACCTGTACCAGCTATTCGGTGTTCCTGATTGGTTGGGAGCTGGGAGGGAGCAAAAACGTGGACTGGCTGGGACTTGAAATTGGCAGATACAAATATTGAATGGATCAGAGTAGCAAAAAAAGGGGATTGGTGCATCTCTAGTTCCATGTAAACCAACAAAAGCAGGAAGTTGTGTGAGGAGAGGAGTTTCTGGTCAAGAACCTGGCAGATCCCTCAAAATCACAGTTTATTTTTATTATTTTTAACTTTTACCGAAAAATTGAGGGATTTTACATGTGAGAATTGAAGATCATAGGAATTCCAGTTTAGTATCTCACTCAAACTGTGTAACTGATGCCGTCATAAAACACCAGCAAAGTTTCTGAACCACAAAAAGATTTCTCATCAAAAGATTAGTGTAGGATCGGTAGTGAAAACAGACTCATCTGTTCATTAATCAGCCAAAGGGTCCAAACATGCTACAATGGCTACCATTGCTGCAACATTCCTATAACATTGTCGTAATGTTAGAGCCCTAGCCAGGAGTTTGGCGGTTACCTGTTGTGCACCAGTTCTGCCATCAGTTTGAGCACAGGCGTGGTGCATGCAGGGACATGGTACCACAGCTCAACTGCCCTCTGCAAGATAGGCATATAGGTGGGGTAGCTGTGTGAGGGGCAGAGAAGTTAAGGGCAAAAACAAGGAAAATGCAGCAGAGAAGATCCACTCGGGAAGTAGCCTTATTTCAGCCACTCGCCAAAAAGCTATTTGAACAAAAGTAAGGACTGTCCTTGAATAGCAGACACCGGACTGAGCCTAAAAGCCCACAGGAGACACCTCAGTCATTCTCAGCTCTAACTGCCCCATCGTGCTGATTATGTGAAACATAAATCCTCTCTGTCGGATGCCTCTGATGCAAAATGAGGTGCTAATTAATATCCCCTGGGACCAGAGCCAGGTGAAGACTGCGCCAGGGGGGCTGGAGGTAGAGCTGCTATGGCTGGCCAGGTCCAGCATAGAATGAAAGGATACATCCAGTCAAAGAGCATCATGAAGCTGGTCTTCGCGTTGAACGCAAAGGCGATGCCCCGCAGGTCTCTCACCAGACCCACCAACGTCCTCTGGGGTAGGGAGGGAAAGCAGTGGTTGAGTACATCGGGGTGGCAAGTGGGGGCAGTTGATGCCTTCGAGTTCCTCTGAATAAGGGCTCTACTACCTTAGCTTCCTGTTCGTTGAAGGTGTTCGTGCTGAACATCTGCGCCACCGCCTCAAACGCGGCCGTAAGGGGCAGCATGAACTGCTCAAACTGGTCCTCATCTTCACCTGCGAAGTCGACGTGTGCAAACGGAGACAGTCAGGACACACTCGGCCAAGACAGCGGCCACCGTCGCAGGGGAGAGAGCAAGATGACAGTCCTCACCCAGGTCCACCATGAGCAGCCGGCCAAGTGCTGTGTAGAAGGTGGTCCGGCATCGCATGTCACTCAGGTTTGACTGATTGTTCACGCCCAGGAAGGAAAAATGCTCGCTCTGCCCGGGAAGGATAGGGAAGGCCAAGGGTTACAAGCGACCAGAGCAGACAGTGTAGGGGAAGGGATGACGGGCGGTAGGAGGCTCGCTAGGAACCATCTGGGGAGGTGCAACATACCGTGTGGTTGTTCAGCATGAACTGAACAGCACTGAGCTTCACTAGCTTCCTCACGCTGCTGTAGGTACACGAGGGGGTCAAGGAAAGATGCCACTCAACGTCACTGACCCACAACACTCAACACCACCTCCATCAGGAAGTAGCTGGAGGATGATGATGATTTTGATGGACCAAACCAATTTTGCTTCAATAACCCCGCATCAAATGAACTTAAAATGTAGTATCAACAACAAAAAGCATAATGCTTGGGGGGGGTCCTCTATTTTTACCATTAGCAAAAATGGCTCCTATAATGAACATGTACACGAATAAGACCATATGTGACCAAACTCAGCTGGGAAGGATATCCAATGGAGAGGTCATTTAGGAGCTGCAGTGTCTTGGAGGTGATGGGTTCACACTGCCCCCAGTACTTCAGGTTGGTGATTCTACATTGTGAGAGAAAGAGAAGGATCCTGGTTAGCATGTAGCATACGCGCTGCTCCTGTCCCATTCGGAGCAGCACACCAACCTCCAGCTCACCAGGGAAATAAGTAGCATCCGATCTCCACCGAACAATGGCCTGTGATTAAGTACTGTAACACCTAAACAGGTACGCTAGGTATACTGCACTGAAAGGGACTAGGCCATACTTGTGAGCTTCTGTCAATTTCAGAGCGGTGTTGGTTAGAGACAACTGCAACATTTTATTGGTCTGCAGTGCTTCATTCTTCTGTTGAGAGACTGTCACTTTCTCTGATGGCTGGTTTGTGAGTAATACAGCAAACTCCAGCCAAGGTCAATGGGACAGACATCCTCCCATGATCAGAAGAGGGTTACAACAGCAACCAGCATTAAACACTAAAACGGCTCATTGGTTGGCAGCAGGTGTTATGGACACCGCCTACTGAGCCTTTGCTGTAACGCTGTACCTACATCTTCCCGATGAAGACGCTCAGCACCATGGTCTCGTCGTTCAGGCCCAGGACCTCCGACAGGCGGCGGTAAAGCTGAGAGACGGGAGAGCAGAGTTATGTGAGCACAATTCAGAAGCTCCACTTACGAATCAACGGGGCCACACCCACACAGGGAACAAGCCCCTCCTCCACGCGGCACAAAGGGTGCGCCTGACATCCCATACTTGTTTGCTATGTAGGAGGTGAAATATATCAGGCAACGTGAGCAGTTATGTGCGAAACCTCAGAATGGATGAGACGGCGGGCGAAGGATACCCAGATGACATCCGGGTACATTCTGCGAAATCTCAAACTGTACAACCGATGGACACTATGCTATCCCAACAAGGCCGCTAGAGTAGGGAAAATCGTTGCTGGCTCAGAAATTTTTGTAAAGATGGCAGAGGAAGTGCCGTCTCTGTACAAATTTAAGTAGAAAACAATCCCTGGTTACATCAGTTGACTTGAATGTATTTTTTCGCCGTCTTTAAAAATTTTTAACTTTCACAGGGGTCAATTACATCACTGGAAAAACATCCGGATCAAGTAATATGCGACTGTGCGCAAATGCATGCATACTGTTCTCATGTTTACATACAGTACACACTGCATTAACAGTTGAGTAGCAGGCTTCTGATGAAGCTGATTACCTACTGTGTAAGTATGTGATTTCAGACACAACCAAAAAGATTCAAACTGAGACCAATACATGGTATTAAAACCCGGGAATTCAGACAATCTGCCAGTGGCTCAGCTTCAAAGCCTCTTCACTGCACCTCATTATGAGCAGAAACAGGGTGGTGGGGAAGACTGGGATCGAGCAGCTGGGCTGCTGCATTATTGACAGCGTTATGGTGACACATCCACCTCCCCAAGCCCAACGATGGCTCCAGCAAAGCCAGGATAGTGGCAATGACTGGTCCTGTTGTCAAGGCAACAGGGGCTTTCCAGTAAAATTGGAAAACTTCACAGACCTGTCTCCCCATCAACTTGACAGTCTGACTTGTACCTAGCTGTAGTTGCAAAAGTCTGGATTATATGCTTTTTTTAGTATTAGTAACTTAAAAACAGAATACAGAAAACTACCAATAGCCCCTTACAAGAAAAAGTACCAGGACAGAAACGACTCCTGTCAGCACTGGGCCAGTAACCAATAAATGGCCATAGTACCCTTTATTGGCCGCCGCCCACATGGGCCTTAGCCAATCCTTACAGGAACGGCAAGGTGACCTTCCCTCAGAGCTCTTCCTTGCATTTGGGTTGTTTGTTTCCTTTTGTTGCTCTTGATAAAGCATCTGGCACCTGGGTCAACCTCCCCCTACCTCAAACCAATCCCTCATCCTTCCACATGGTTTACAAGGACATGGCGCGAAAGATGCGACTACTTTCTTTAACAGCAAAAGTACAGATCACTGCTACATGATGTACGCATTCATGGGCAACAGGGACATTCACAAATGGCTCAGCTAAGTGCCATTATCCATTATCCACGCAGCAGGATGCTAACAGTCTGCACCAATGCCACAACACAGAACTTCTGGACTGAATGCCTGAACTCAGATTCAGTATCTCACTTGGATATTTCAATACTACTCTATATTTTTCAGACTAAATATAAGAAATTCTTGTGGTCAGCTCACCGTGACGTCGACATCATTGTAATGGCTTGCTCTATGCCCTATTATGCAAACTAAACTTCCTCCATAGTAAGTTAAACCATTTAAAGGGGATGTTGTGTCATGACTGGTATTTAGTTGTGGGGGCAAGATGTACACAGGACCAGGAAGCTTTGCAGTCTGGTCTGTGGGAGGCTAACAGAGTTTGAGAGACTGCACATGTTCTAGTCACACAATTATGACAGTAAAAGTCATAAAAATATGCAAGCAAAAATGCTACAACAGCCATATCTCACAATGCTAAGCGCCAACAGGCAGTCATGTCATCTGTAGACATAAGACGATAGCAAATCTGTCCACAAACTAACACCACAAGCTAAACCAAAGCTCTCCCAAAGCTGGAAGTCCCCATGCAGGGCTCCAGATGGCCACTAAAATGCTCACCAATGCGACTAGATTTATAATTTTGCGACTAGTTTTTTCATTGCAGTAGCCAATGGCGACTGTCTCTCACGATCCAAGAGAAAATAAAATGAAAACGTAAAAGGCAAGAAAACTGCCAGCTTTTAATTATGTGTGTTCTTAACCCACATCTGCCTTTCCTGCTGCATTATTACGTGATTAAAGCGTGGATCGATCCACAGCAGTGTTCACAGATTGGGCTGCAGACTCTTCACGCTATCTGGCAGCTTGATGCAGAGGGTATGGAGCCCAGGAAGGGGTATGGAGGGAAAAAATGGACTCCTGCAAAGGTGGGATGGACTTTTGCGAGATCCCGCATTACCATTAATAACTGCACTGTGTCCGTTTAAAGTGCAAAAGATTTTATTTATGGATTAATAAGTATAAACCTAAATTATAGAGACATGTCCTGTAAGAGCTTTAAGTATTAAACTATGGGGAACAATGCACACCATGTAACTTGCATATTATGTGTTTTTAAACGCATTTATTTTTTAATAATTGCACTGTGTCCATCCACCACAAATGACTTTGAGCAAGACAGCTGGACTACTGAACGCGAAGTGCACACATAAACATTGAAAAATATTACAAACAGTGAAAGATTTTACAGCTGGAAAACTGCATATAAAGTTAACTTTACTGCGATGTTGGGGTTAAGGTTTAAACTCGAACCCGCTTACTGGAATATTTCAGTATAGATCTGTACATCCCCACATGCATCATCAAGTGAGAATAGCAAAGAGGTATACCCGGAAGTGGGTTCGGGATTAAACAGCAGGGAGGTATACCCGGAAGTGGGTTCGGGGTTAAACAGCAGGGAGGTATACTCGGGAGTGGGTTCAGGGTTAAACAGCAGGGAGGTATACCCGGGAGGGGGTTCGGGGTTAAACAGCAGGGAGGTATACCCGGAAGTGGGTTCAGGATTATATAGCAGGGAGGTATACCCGGGAGTTGGTCAGCTTTACCATGTACGTAGCACCAAAACAGACTGGACTTAAATATTCTCCTGAAGTTTACTGGTTGTTTTAGAAGACTGAGCTGGGTGCTTCTATAGATCACACATCAGCATGTATAAATCACAACACCCCTACACTACCTGCACGCTTTCCCATATATTAGCACTCAGGGATGGCTGTCCATTTACCTTGGAAGATTTCTGCACCTGGTCACCGATGTAGATCTTGCGAAACTGCTCGAAAAAGCTGAGCATGGCCAACTCCAGCTTCTCATTGCCGGCCTGCGCCAGGCGGGAGTCAGTCAGGTTCATCAGCTGTAGCACCCTGTGGAACCAATCGGAAGGAACACCAGTGTCAGCAGATCACAGCACATGTTCGGGGGATGCAAAATATGCATTAATACTGTGCATGTCTGGAGTAAGCAGGTAAATCTTCACAGCGCTCAACGACATGCACCACAGTACGCTGACATTCATACAAACACGGATTATTCTGAGAAACTCCAGGTCCTGTTAAAGTCATCCATGTTGGTACAACCAGGGTAAAACCGCCATATTTCGGTCACTATCTATTAGCAGACACTTACCTGCAAACTAGCTCTCCATCCATGGCGTCTTGCTCATCAGTGCTGGCGAAAGAGACCCTTCCCCCAATAACGGCACCAATGATGTAGACCAGCCACGTCAAACGACCTGCAGAAGAAAACCCAAATCATCACCATCATCATCTTCGCCAGTCCATCTGTACCCTGATAAACCACTCTGGGAGCAAACAGGTGAAGTTTCGGATAGTTATGCTGTGAGTCCACACTACCTTCCTGTACGGCAATGTCCATGGCACTCGAGTTGGTGGACTGCAGCAACTCCTGGTAGGACTGGGCGGACTGGTCAAAGAGCTGAACCAGCAGGGCGCACGTCTTCTCGTACTCACAGCGACCAATGGTGGACAGCTGGTCCAGTTGCTGCTGGACCAGTCCCGTGTCGTCCAGAGGATCCTCCAGGCCATCCCTACCAATCACATTGAATGGTACAGGTCAGCACTCATGCAGGAGCTTACAGACCATGTCCATCTCTCCATGCTGAATTTTACAGCACAAAAAAAGGTAATGGAAAGAGTTGGGTGAAAAGTCAAAGGAGGAGGAGCAGGGAGTTGCCATCAGCGAAGGTCATCACCTGAGGATGATGTGTACAGACTCTAGGCGTGAGGTGATGTAGGCCTTGGTGACCTCGGGTGTGTAGGTCTCCAGCAGGTGTGGTTCCGTGGCTTTAACGTAGGGCACAGAGGCGGCCAGCCGCTGCCATAAGCTCAGCAGGTAGTGCACGCTGTTGGGGGCGAATTCCCAGTGCTGGGGGGGGTAAAGCTGGTTACCAACAGCGACCAAAATGCAAACCTAGCATGGTGTAGCACACAAACTCACTACACCTCCTCAAACCCCCTCCCCGTCACCTTCTAAACCACCTTTGGCACAGCATGTGGATAATACTTTAAGAACATAATCAATTTCTAGATAAAATTCTAGACAGCTGATTTCCCCCATTGAAGACCCAAGATAACAGATATCATATGAGAACGATAGGTGGCTTCCCTCACAGAACACAACGACAATATGGGGCTTTTTAACAATGACGAAAAAGAAAAACATTCTTTTTATAGCTAGACCGAGCAGAGACTGACACGAACATCGGCCCACTTCGATAAATTACTAATATACTGCAATCTCCATGGCTTCAGAATCACCCCCCAGAAAAAAAAAACCTGGATGAATACCAGTTGTAACAAGAAAAAGCACCTTAATTCTCAAGGCAGAATTTTTATATGCACCAAGTCAGTGACAGATTTAATGTTTTGAGTATTTGTGTACAATATTCCCAACCTGTGGTATATGTCATAGCCCAGGAAAAACTATCAAAAATAATCAAAGAGTCACTCTGGCAGGTTTTTGACAGGAATACTGCGGAGAAATCTAGGAATAACCCAGGCGGGATTCTGGGGGCTTTGGCATGGACAAACCTGTAGGCTGGTTACGGTGAAATTAGCTATTAGTCTTATGACTTCTGGGTAGTTCTCCACCTTAACCAGCTCACCCAGCTGGTAGTTGCTCTTCAATCTGGCTAACAGTCGACAGAATTCATGATAGTTGTTGGGATCTGACAAACTCTGAAACAGAGATGTGGGGAGGGAAGGAGAAAGAATCCATGGTGAAATTAGCATGTGCATCAGCCCATCACGCTGGCAAAGTAATCTAAGAAAGCAACTGTTCCACAGACTCATTACGTTGGTCTGTAATATTGGATCAACCCATACTCATGACAATGGGATTTTTTGTAAACAAGGCTTTAGAAAATGTTTGACTTTTTGCTAGTACCAGAAGATCAAACTGAATCACGCATGCAATAGAGTGATCAGGCCACAGAGGCTGAGATACCATCAAGCAAAGAAGCAGAACTAAGACTGTAATAAACTAACAAAACAAATTTAAAAAGTAATTTTTTGAGGGGAAAATGTACAATCATTACCTGCCCATGAGGCACCGGAACAAAATTACAGAGAACTACTGTTAGCAGGTGCTAACAGGCTAAACGGGGGTTTGAAAGCACCCCCTGCTCGTCTCCGGTTCCTACAACTAGCAAGGCAAACTCAGCAGGTACCTGTGGGTTCTCCAGGATCCTCTTTACTCCGTCCACGAGGTGGGACAGGAACTTGGCCCGTTCTGCATTGTTGAAGAGTGACCTCCTTACAGATGCTATCTGTACCAAGCACGACAGGACCTGGGGGAGGGGAGGGGAGGGGGGCACGGTGGTCAATCGACAAAAAGGAGGGAATCAAGCAGGGAATCGGGATCCAGGCAGAGAGGCAGGAACCTAGGCTAGGCGGTACTCACTCCTTTTCCTCTGACAAACTATTCCCAGCCCATATGGTCAGACCTGGAAGACCTATTTCCTCTTTGTGTGGTTTATGCAGTTTGACATTTACACAAATGGAAAAATTGCCCTTTCATGCATCCCATTAATCATGAATATATCACAGCTGTGTCTCAGAGGGACTCATACAAAGTCCACATGCAAACTTTCACTACATCTATGGGGTCACAGCTGTGGTGTGATTTTGGTACCACAACTGAACAATGGTTAAGCATGATGTTAAAGGCTCTGTTTCCGGCCCACCTGTCAGTTGACCGGAAGACAGCCAACTGACAGCTCCAAACCTTCTCTAGCTCAGCCAGCAGGGGGCAGCGTTATGAAGGATCCATCCTAAGCTCACCAGAGTAATTACAGGACCCCAGAGAGGTGCTCCCACTCACCAACGGAGAAAGGGATGGAGGGATGGAATGGTACAGATCGAAGAACAGCTGCAGGGTGGAGGAATCCAGGAAGGCTGCAATCAGAGTGGAAGGAGAAGTCAGCATGGAGCTGTGGGTCTCAGCGCCCTCACCCCCAACCCCGGCCTGTTTCACACTCCGCCCACAGAGGAAGCCCTTCAGCAGCACAGGTGCTGGACCAAGGAATCCCAGCTCCCTCACTCTGGCTGGATCATTTAACGACCTGCTCGTTTCCAAGCAACTTTGACAGAATTATGTGGGGGTTATAATTCCCGGTGCACCCCCCCCCCTCCCTCCGAGGGTCTCACCGGATCTCCAGCTGGTGGGAATCTGCACCGTGCACAGGTCGTCCGAGGACTCGTCGGTGGAGGTGCCGATGAAGTCGAAGTTGAGGCAGTTGTGGGCCAACTTCAGCAGCTGCATGAGCAGCCCATGCTGGCCCTCATCATTTAAGTTAAGGTTCTTCCCCGAGGCCTGAAGAGACGCAGGGAGACTGGTGAGACAGGCAGCCCCACGGCAAACCAGAGCAGGGGGTACAACATAGAAGACAAGCCTGTCACTGTACAACAACCGACCCATTCGCATACAACAGAAAAGGGCGGGATTTACAGGCTCGGAATAAGCCTGACCTGGGATCAGCTCAGGCCGCAGAGAGAGATGAGCCTCACCTGTTTGAGAAGGTTGCATGACAGCGTAAAGATGTCAAAGAGCGACGAGTCCCGAAAAGAGGAGGCGATCTTCCTGTGCTTGGTTAGCGGATGCGTCGCGTCTGCCTGGGAAACCAGGACATGTTTACGTTACTCATTTCTGCAGCACCTCCTGCCCAGCTGTCTCAGACTAAAGAGAATCTTCTGCCTTGAAGATCAGGACTACGAGGCTGTACGGCTCTGGCCTACAAGCCAAGTTCATTCTTCACGGTTTGTAATAGTTACTTAATATTGTTGGTCCACCATGTTCTTAATGGATTGGGTTTGAGTTTTTAATTGCAAAGTGCCAAACAGCTATTACAGTAACTGAAATGCACCGACTGCATTACTGCATGCATGATCTAATGGGCCGCTTACTAGGCGTTACCGTTACTAGGAGATGAGAACAAGCTCTTTGGAATATCTGCAGACGCACATTTCATCGGGGTCACGGCTGACACGCCCAGCTCTGAACCGCCCCCCACTAACAGCAGCCCTTTAAGATTGAAGGGGGGGGGGGGGCGCCTTCCACTGCGCGGTTTGCCCCCGACTCCGGCAGTCACAGGGAAGCTTCTCCCCCACTGGCCTCACAGCATGGGCAGCTTGGCCCTCCGGCTCAGCACCAGCCCCCGAGCGGCAAGGAGCCGCAGCAAACACTCTGGGTGCACAAGTGCTGCCTGTGGTATAACAGGAAGCGGTCACTATGTAAAACGATGACTTCGAAACGGCCACGGCAGCAGGACACAACGGTGTAGAACAGAGGTGCAGAGTTGGTGCCTTTGGATAGATCTTACCGACATACTGAGATGCATAATCAAAAATATGTAATATAAATTAAAGTTAATAAAAGGCAGCACAAGAATATGTGGAAAAGGTGCATATTAAGCAGCAAAATTAATCTGCCCTGAGCTCCTATCAGTAGCTGTGTAAGCTGACATCTTCCCAAGCTCTTAGAATTATTATTTTTTTTTAATTGTTCATGTCTGTTTAGACTTTAAAGCTGTCCCTTCTCCGTGTAATCCCTGACACCCAAGGAAAAAACGCCAGCAAATCACAAATCGCCAGTTTAGTTTGCCCCCCTTTATACTTAAGCTGGCCGTACGGTCGAAACGAAAATCGAACACATCGGCAAGAACAATCTTTCGCTGCCACCTCGTTCATTTCATATCACGCCACAGCCATAGAGGGCGCAGAATGTTCCTGATCCAGCAGGGCCCACAGACAGAGTGCAAACGAACATATCAGGACGAGTAGGTGGGTCATTGTAAGCTCTTTTAAAAAATAAGTTTTTAACAGCCATTATCGGTTGAATACTAGCAGTGGCCCAGACAGGTCATACACTAACAAAGCACACATTCCACAGCAAATATCACATGGTTACGACTATTATTAACAACATGAATACACAAATACACATAGTAATTTACACTATTAAAAGTGCGGTGCGATGCAAATTATATATTTTGTATCAGCCAATCGTGGACAGTGGGTGGGATCAGAACAAACTGGAAAGTTTGCCTCGGGGACCCTGCGCAGGCAGTGTGCTAAGGCAGTGAGCGCCGCAGTGACTACAGCTCATACATCATTGTATTGCCGAAACTGCGTCGATTCTGTCAATTTTGTGTGAAGTATACAGCCACCTTTAAGCACAGGCCCAAGAAAATCCTTTGGAGATTCTTCGGAGGCCCAGTCATTCTGATGAAACCAATATGAGCAAGCGGAACAGGATTTATGCCTCCATTATGCTATCGGGCATAAATCAGAGGCTAAGCCTGTCCGCGAATGTGTGAGGTGAAGCAGAGGATGTCAGGGACAGGAAGCTCTTCATCACTGGGCAGAGTGTTGGCACTTACCTGGTTAATCTCATTGGTTAGCTGGGAGAGAATGGTGACTCCTATGATGCAGTGCTCTACGCTGTCCTGCAATGGAAAGTGGCCATTAGTGAATGAGGCATATTTCTGAGATCCAATGGGCAGCAGGGGGCGCAGTGGTTAAGAGAGGAAACCAAAAGGCAGCACAATGGCAAGGAAATTTTGTTGCTTGAATAATAAAACGTGACGTTGTAGGCTGTAGGAGTAGCTTCGAGGAACGTGGCCCTGAGTATGTGACAAAAGCCAACACCTGGCTGGGTGGGGTTTAGGGTGGGGGTACTGCTTCTTATTATTATATGGCAAATGGGTCATAGCCTACGTTACCAGGATACAATCTGACAGTACATGAGCTGTAGCTGGCAAATTCAGGTCTGCCTTTCTCCACCAGCAGACAGCAGGGAGGTACCATCATAGAACATTACTATTTGAAGAACTTTTGCTGTCCACCAGAGTCTCCTCACCCCCAGGGCTCAGAGGGGAAACACTTAACCTTCAAAGGGAAGCAGCCCCACCACAAGTCCCAGGAGTGGCCTGGACCTTTCAGAGAAGGACCGAAGCACCGTGTCCCCCACTGCAGCCTGCAGTCTGTCGAGGGACAGCAGGTTGTTCTAGAACGGTGCCTTCGTGGGCCCGGCGGGAGAGACCTAAGTGACCCTGCATTAAAACGCACCTGCAGGAAGCGTGTGACATCAGCGATGGCGTTCCTGAAGGCGTAGTCATCCTTCTGACAATCGAACCAGCCCAGTTTGGTGATCCTGGCGTAGAGCTGGATCAGGGCTTGGGTGACGAAGGCCGCCAGCTTCGGCCTGGTCGCCAGGTAGTTGAGTACATAGTTCCCTGGAGAAGGGGCAGAGCGGGCTCAGCCTGGCAGAATCTCACACCAGAAAAACATACTTGTCACTCAGTATTGCGACTTTTTCCCAATGAAATCCTACTGCTGTGCACTTTATCCCCAGAAGGGTGTGCCATTTGTACGCTGTAACCTGAACAGTTCGATACACAATTTTTAAAAGTATATTATTGATTACTACTAATACCCAAAAGGACCCTTTCCAGCACATTTGTAGCTAAAGATTTTTGAGGGCCCCACTCCCTGTCCCCCGTTTTAAAACTTACGAATATCAACACGCTGTTCCAAGGGAAGAGGATTGCTCGTCCTCGACACCAGCTTGGAAAGACACGTGGCAGCAAGCAACTGGGAATAAGATGACTGAGGAGAGAGATGAAGATGAGCGAGGTTAAGACAGTGACAGTAAGGAATGTGGGTCACATGACCAGAATCCACCAATCGTGAGGGTTATAGGCCATCACACTGGTAGACCAGCAGAACGCGTTAACTCAGGTGACAATGTCTAGGCATGGTGCCAGATGACGGCGCCATTATCCCCTACAGCAAACGACGTAAAGTAAAAGGAAAAGCAGAAACAAGTCTGCCTTTTTCTCACACAAACAGAGTTTGATTTAACCCACCAGTCTGCTATATTTCGATTCTTTAATACAGGCAGTCCCCAGGTTACGAATGAGATCCGCTGCTTAAGTGTGCCTTTAAGTCGAATTTGTAAATAATGGTGCATAACATAGTAATACAGTACAATAACAATAATAGTTATTCAACAATAGTAAAAAGTCACAAAGTAGTGTATGCGTTCCCTATTATGAACCACTGTATGTTACTCTAATTTTGAATATAATAGGATTCTTGATAGTCCGTTTCTAAGTACGAGTTGTCCGCAAGTAAGTTGTTCTTAACCCGAGTACTGCCTGTAAGCACAGGATTTGAAATTTCACCATGGTGGCTACAATCCCGCCGGATGTTTTCCTAGACATAGATAGCACCAGGGGGAGTCCGGGGTGGGGGGGGGGGGGACTTACGCTCCCTCTCTCCAACAGCAGCTGGCACTTGCTCAGGCAGTCTGGGCTGTTGGTAAACTCCACCAGGGCCTTCTCCGCCTGAAGCCGAGTGCTGGTGTCCGTGGTCTCATACAGCTGCTTGCACAGGATCTCTAGCTGGGCTAGGCTCTGCGAGACACACAGGCAGGCGGGCAGAGAAGAGCTTCAGAGAGGGCCAACCTCCAGGAACACTGCAGCTAATTAGCGATTGCTCAACATCAGTCTTATTCAACATGGAAACGGTGCACAAGTGTTCGGCACATTTTTATAAAGCGCCCATCCAAAAACTGATGCCCCAGAGGACGTTACGTAAAGTCACACAGCACATGTGTAACCAGAAGAAGCCAGATGATGGAGAAAAGTAAGAAACGCTAGTATGGAAAGGAAACCTCAGCCAGGGCTCAAAGGTCAACTGGCTAACTGCCCGTCCATAGCAGCTTAAACATGAAGTTACTGGTCGCAGTTACTGCATTTTAGTAACAGTTGCAGCCAGTAACATACATCAACCAATATGGCCCAAATGTGTGAGAGCACAGTTAGTGTGAAAGACATCTGCTGCACAGACCATCACTGCTGAACGCAAAGGATTGAGAAAATACGACAGGTGTGCAGCTCCCAAATGGAGAAGATGTCACACAGATTTCAACACTTAATCCCGTTTAACAGAACAAATAAAGGAAACTGCAGGGAAGAAGACAAACGTGCACAGATTTGACCGCTCTTTGGAAGAACTCGATACGGCTTGGTTGTTAATAGCGTAATGATTACAACTATTTACAGCCATTGCTAATACATATGAGGAGGGCAAGGACCTACGACACGAGCGAAACATCAGTGGCGTCAGGAATCTCGCTGATGAAAATGTGAGCCAGCTAAATTCAGCACTCAGTAGTGAGTCATCACCTACGCGGGGTGATTGGACTCAGTTTCATAAGGTACTTGCAGAAAGAGAGGAACAGGTCATGTCTGAATATTAAACCCAGGCTGGCAAAAAAACATACGCCAACAAACATTTCTATTTTTAAATAACAGACGCTAACTAACACGAGAGTAAAACTGATTTGCTTCATACATTTTTAGTGAAATGGTTTGGAAAGGAGCTGAACATTGATCTGCGATACACGTGTTGGGCACCGCAACAGTGGAGGTGGAGGAAGAGCGACGGATTCCGCCCGATAAAACAAGCACTACATTATCGACAGAGCTGCGCCTCCGAGATAAGGCCGTCTCTGCCTCACGCCTGTTGGGGCCACACTGCTGGGGTGGAACAGTGTGTACTGACCCCACTTTCCCAATGTCCAGGCAAGGTGTGAACTCTGGGAGGTGTCGCCCCGCCAGTCGTCCGACCTAACTTTGAGAAACTCACGAGAACTCAGTGTTTCCTAAAAATACCCCAACACCAATCTCACTGCCTCAGGCAGAGGGCGTAGGTGGATGGGGGTGGGGGGGGGGGGTGGGGGTGGGATTATGTTTTCTTGTAATGAGGATGTTTCTCTGCATTTCAGTCCAAAGCGGGTGCAAGTCAGCAGTAGCAACACAGATGAGAAAAATATGTGTAACAGCCTTAATGATTCACAGGTCTGGAGATGAGCAGACTGGCGCTTTTTGTAATAAAGGAACTTGCCTTATACGTTAGAACCCAATGCAATGCCTATGATTTGTATAAGAAACGGAACCGACATCATGCCTATAAACTACTGTGGGGGTGATACAGGTGACTGACGAGAACCTAAAAGCAAACAGCAGGGGCACAAAGAGTAACCAATGCTTGTAATGGTGACACCAGAGTCGGGAGTTTGTGTGGAGTACTGTGATGAAGAGGGGTGTACTAGCTATAAACGAGATTAGGGAGGAAGGGGCGGGGCAGGGGCATCTCGGACTAAGGTCGCTGTACTATGCAGAGTCACTTAATAGGGAGGCCCCTTCGGAGGGGGGGGGCACCTGCACATTTCCCACCATTTAGAACAAGGTAGACTGAGACAAAGATGGCTCACTGCCTGAAGTGCTTCTCTGCCTGCAGATACAGCAAGCGTTCGATGTGCCCTCTAATGAATACCTCATCTGGGCTGCTGAGGGTGGCATGGGAAGGATGTGGATCTCATATTTACTGACAGTAATATCCTCAGAAGAGCAGCCGGCTACTACAGCCAGTATTAAGGAAAGCCAGGCCATCCTTTCAGCAATCAAATTAATTAATAACATGCCCAAGAAAGGAGCCATATTAAGCTTTTCCCTTATCATGCCTGTTACACCTTAGTGTCAGGTGGTAAGAAGCAGTAGGTACAGCACAATGTTTTTATAAAGTTCGTCACACTGAAAGCTGGCAGTGGGGAAGACATCCCTCCAGGACTGGTACTAAAAAAAACACAAGCTTTTGTAGACACTGAACTCCAGTTCTGTTTACGTCTACAGAGCAAAACGCCAGTATCATTTGAAAACAAGCAACATGAATAAAACATTTCTGGGGTGAAACTTCTATCATGACAAATCAGCCGCTAATATGAACACATTAGTATGAATATTTAATCGCCAAATAACGATTCAAGCTATAGAAACATGGGTGGAATTTCATTCATCATTTACCTCCCTGTCAACCCATAGAGGTGGAAGGAAATGCAGAGGACCCACATCACACAGAGGTTTAAGAAACTGGCAGAGAGATGAGACATGAAAAAGAGCTCGATCATTTCAGCGCTCACTTATCTGCAAAGGCCAACATTATTTGAAGACACAAACACAAAAAAGTTCACGTTAAATTCTGCCAGTGGAGGGTCTGAGGGAATGTGTATACAATCGATTCCTAAAATGTCAATAATGGGGAGTGAAACGCGGAAATTAACGAGCATGCGGGTTTGCTGCCTGGATGTTTATGCTCTCCACAATACCATATGAAGCATATTTAAACTGCTCACGAGATCTATTTGCAAGACGAGAAGCTGTTAATTCCCCACTTCTACTGTCATCAATAAATAATAATACCTAGTTTACATCAGAACACAGACCGAAAATAAAAGCTTCAGAGGTGCAGCTGGAAAAATACATACCAACATTTTGACCGAAGCTGGCCAACATGATTCAGATAACCTGTCTGGGCGCTCAGTTTGTGCAGCAGTGTGCTCAGTGAAAATCCCCTTAACACCAGCATCTGACAGGCAGGGGGAGCGGACAGCTTTGGGAACTAATGGCCAAAGCCAGACATCAGCAAGTTTAAAGTCTTTGTAAACCACACATTTCCATCTCTGTGTTGATTGCCATCTTAACCGTCCCTTCCAGAGACAGCTTGCTGTCATGCCGGGAATATGAACGGGATACAAACGTGGTCAGAGTGGGGAAGCTCTACTTTACACCGAGGGACGCTGTAGGAAACAAAACGCACACATATCATGTTTCCAGCAGCGTGCAACGGTGCTGCGGCCCCGCGGTTTATCTCGGACAGTGGATTTAGCGCGGCTACACGTGCACGGCCCGCCCGGGGGGGGGGGGGGGGTAATAAGATTATCGGGGGGGCGGTATCTCTGAAGGCTCGCTAAATCCGCGAGTATGGGGCTGTACTATTAAGAAGTTCGGGCCGCATGGGCCTCTCGGGCGAACCCCTCCCCACATCCCCACCACACAACATTAATGACAAGATGCTAAGCGCCCACGAGGCGCAAAGAACCCAAGGCGTGCACACTCCATATATCAGAACTTCAAATTAAATACTTCTCTTCGCGCGCAGGCTACCCTCCCTCCTAAAGGGTGTGACAGCGGCCGGTGAGTCGGACGCCACCTGACGCGGTGTCAGGGCGCCCTGCCGAAGGGAGAGGAGGGGCCGGCCGGCCGGCTAGCGCTGCTAACGCGACTAGCATCAGGCGCTCCGGGTTGGCTGGGTTATTAAAAATATCAAACAACCCCGCGGAAAGTGGTGCAACCCTAACACACGCCGGCGGAAGCTGAAGAGGTGGGACGGGACTTGGACGCTGTGCTAAGGCCGTGGCCCGGGTTTGGCAGCGGGACCAGCGGGGATGCAGCCAGACCAACGCGGGGCGCTTGTTTACTCCGCAGCGAGCGGCCGGCCGCGGCTCGGGCGGCGTGCACAGGCACTCACCCGAAGCCGTTATTCTCAATTTAATTTTTTTAAAAAGACAACGCGTCCGCCTCCTCCCACCTTGCACCATCAACACCACGACGCGAAACGAGGCAACAAAACACGACGGCAAGGCCACAAGTCAACATCAGCCCCCGGGCGATGGCCAACGATGCACCGCGACGGCCCCCGTTGCCCCAGGTTTAACACGGCCGCTTGCAGTGCAGCGCCCCGATCCCGCATGGTCACCCGCCGTCGGACTCCCGCAATCGCCGGGGCGCGCCGCTCTTCGCACGTCCCCCGTGTTATGAAAACACAAACCCCCGGTTACCTGCACATGATCCGCCATTTTGCTCCATTCATGCTCCTCTCTCACTCCCCCCTAGCAATGAGCATGCGCGACAGTCGCCCAGGTTTCGTACGGCGTTTACGCAGTTTGCGCGCGGCGGCGGCGCCGGCCAGACGCAACGTAGTTTAATTTCAGAATACGCGTACGTACGAAAAGCCCGCTGCGTCTCGACGCCAAATAGTGGGTCTTTGTTTACATGGTTCTTAAAGCAAAATTGCTGCATTCTGTCAAACCCCGCAACGCCATCACGATATTAACCTGTTTGTTCACCCGACGAACATTTGAATAATCGACACAAACGAAAGACAAAAATCTGCATTTAGAACCACGGTATATTCGTTTAATTATAGGAATAAAATATTGTAAATTATTGGATTTCACTGAAACTCGCTTTGTGAATAGCGTAATGAGCAGTTTGTGTTCATGAAATAGTACTACATCACCAAATAATGCTTTTATTATTTACTGGGTATACCCGCTAACAGGGATTCTTCACGTGTCACAATATGTTTAATTTTGCTCACATTTATAATAAACATAAAGTTGATCATTCCTGATGATATCCCATGGATATTAATCATGTCCTTTATTTAATTAATTCCCAACAAATCCTCAGACATTCCGGCATGACTCTAAACTCATCTATTTGACGTCATGTTATACAAATGAATAACATTCAACATCTCTGCGTAGCCTACTATCAAACAGAGATCCAGCTAACCTCTGCAAGTATACATCAGCATTCATACAGCCTTTTGCTCTGCCAAACAGCACTTAGGGAGCTGAGCAGTTAGGTAGTATATTACATTATCCCTTCAAATAGGAGCTGAACCAGCAACCTTAAGATTGTTCTACCTGTTGCTTGTATTACTACTACATAGAAGGGAAGTCATACAATTTAAGCTTATGGTAGGCCTACTAATTTTTTCCATTATCTTATCTAATGCAAGGGCTACAGGCTACACTGTTATTACATCCATCTTCCCATCTTACTTATACAGTCTTGATGAGCCTGAAGCCTACACAGTAACCGCAGATCATGAGGCTGGCGACGGACACCACGAATGGGAGGCCAGTTACTCCATCATTTACAGACACCAGTTCATCTAAACTGAATGATATTGGAGTGCAGGTGGAAACCGGAGTACTCCGAAAAAAAAACCTGCACAGACATGAGGATAAGGTGCGGACTCCACACACATAGGGTTGCGGGCAGCTTTATAACCTCACACCCTGGAGGTATGGGGCTATGGCGTCAACCCCTGTGGCACACGGCTGCTGTCTCCATTTAAATGTAGTCTTTATACACATTACTGTACAAGAGTCCTGCCAGTTTAGAGTGGCAGATCACAGGATCTGACCACAATGCCATGGCCTATCAGGGCTTCATCTCCGCTGAAAGGGAAACTAATCCCTGAATACTTGTCTGTGTGCAAGGCTTGTAACGCTATACAAGTCACAGACAAAAAGGCTTTGGAAAACCAACTGCTGTGTCCATAACGTTAATGGATTAGGGATTTATATAGCTGATGCTGAACCTTTCCTGTCACTGTGTGACTATAGATTATAGTTATCTGACCTGATTAGTTTGCTAAAAAAATATTGAACCAGAAAACAGACAACATGTAATTTCTTCAGCAAAAATAGTGTATATTTACAACCTCAATATATTCTTATTTTATTAAATGTAATTGATACTGATATTTTAATGAGCTATAATTGTGATAACCGATCATACCAGTTCATATAATTTCATATGATAAAAATTAAATGGACAGTCTTTGTGAAGCAGTGCGTTACTGACTGTTATGATTATTTCATTTTCTCAAACTCAAATAAACATCAGTAGCTCAGAAAAACAGTATAGTTTATAGTACCAAATATTTCCATCCAACCATCCATTTTCCATTGTGCTATTCAGGGTCATTGGGGGTCTAGGGTCTATCCCAGAGGCTGCAGGCCCAAAGCAGGGAACAACCCAGGATGGGACGCCAACGCATCGCAGGGCACAGTCACACACCATTCACTCACACTGCCAAAAATGTTATAGTACAAATTAGTATAAACAGCCACTTTAAAGTCACTTCATCACATCAAGCAAGTATATAACATGAAATCTCAAAATATTTGCTTTCAAATAGAGCAAGTTTAAAATAGTTTGTTCTACTTAACAAACACATACTGTAGTCCATCGCTATCAACTCTTTGGCCAAACATTATCTACCAATAATACATTTATGATAGACTTATTTGTTATTTACAACATTATATATACACCAGGTATCCTCTAATTTCTTATCCAGTACAAATTCCTATTCAGTTAAATAGACCAAGTGCGCAGTTGTCGGCCTTGTGCGCTACTTATGTAGAATTTAATATTCGGCTGCCACCTGGTGGCAGAATATGTCCTTAGCACACTGTGCACAAATTTCACTTTAATAATGACAAAATCATTAATCAATGTTCACAGCATTAATCATTCAGTAGATAGATAGATAGTGTCCATATTTTCTCTGTTTTATGATTCTGGTCTTTTTTTTGACTCATTTGTATTGTTTATCCATTATAAATTAGTAGTAATAAGTATAGATTTGTACTCTGTGGACCTGAAATCTCCACCCCTGACCGTGATGTGTTTGTATTCATTTGAGGCACAGTGTGAAACAGTCAAACAGTTCTGAATCAGCTGATTGAAAATGTTAGTCATTAGCCACAGGTTTGATGAAGCACAGTTAGTTAAGGCTGTTGCAGCATGGGATACATCCTCCAGGTTGTAAGTAAACATCTCATTATATGTAAAAATGTACTGCTGTGAGTAATGTGATGCTGAGTGGAAAAAATTATATTGTCAGATGAGTCACAAATCTGACACCCTGAATAAAGTAAACAACTAAACGCGTGGGGTGAAACCAGATTACATTTTTTCTCTAGCTGCTGACTGACTCTCCATCTAGTACAGGATGCAGCTGCAGGACTTTAGATCTGACGTGTGAACGTGCCATTTCTGTGCTCACCCCCGGATGTATCTGTCAGTCAAATTTACAGCAGTTTACAAAACATTATTTAACATGTCAGTGTCTGGGGGCTGATGTGTGGCTCAGCAGGTTATAGCTCTGTGTCTATGATTAGAAGGTCACCAGATTAAATCCCAGGGCCAGCAGACTGATGCTGCTGTTGAACCCTTGAGCGACATATTTAACCCCCAACTTTATGGACATTGCATGCTGGCTGACCCTGTGCTGTGACCCCCAGTTTGCTCTCACCTGTATGTGTGTCTGAGTCTTGTGGAGAGATGATGGGGCAGGCAAAAAAAAGTTTCCCTATGAGAATGAATAATGTATCATTTTTCTCTAAAATGGATTTGCTCCCATGTGTGAGTTACGATTCTCTTTCATACACACAACCCTGATTCTTTTCTTCATAAGATGGGTATCTTGGTTATCTTGCTGAGCCAGGACTCAATAACAGAATAACCTTTAACAGAGTCTCTGTTGCATGCGCTCATCTATGTGCATGTGTCCAGGATTCAAACACAATCTATAATACAGTCTAGAAGAAAACACCTACCACTTGAATAAGGAATGGATCCTGATTAGGGAGCTGTTTGTGAGCTAAGAAGCCAGTTCTGTCACATGAACATTGCATTTATGTGTTTATCCCTATTAGGTGATCAGAGCTTGGTATTAACATTGGCCATCACTGATCTCCATCATGAGATCTCTCTTTCTGAGGTCTCTCTTTCTGAGATCTCTCTTTCTGAGATCTCTCTTTCTGAGGTCTCTCTTTTTTTAAATTCAATTTTGGTCCTAGTTAAAAATTTGTTTATTGCTTATAAACTGCAAATGACTATACTGTAAAGGGCTTTGTGACAAGTTCTTTAGAGAGAGAGAATGCTGAATTTCCAAATTGCCCGTAGGTGTGTGTGGGTGAGTGAATGGTGAATGAGTGAATGGTGTGTGAGTGTGCCCTGCGATGGGTTGGCACCCTATCCTGGGTTGTTACCTGCCTTGTGCCCGTAGCCTCCAGGATAGGTTCCAGACCCCCCGTGACACTTCTGAATGAGACGACATTGATTGATAAAGTCAATGCAGCTTCTGCGTGTCATTTGATGGTCTGGTACAAGTCTTGTGTGAGAGAGACACAGTGTGGTGATCATGGATGATGCTGCTACAGGCAGCAGATGAGCAGCTTTAGTATTTAAGCATGGGAATGAACGTTACTTTATTTGTCAATTATTGAAATACACAGGAATTCTTTGATTTTCACCTGCCCCATTTTGGCTTCTATAAGACCCTCAGTATCCACAGGGGATTAGTTCCAGGACCCCCTGCGGATACCAAAGTCTGTGGATGCTCAAGTCCCTATATAACCTGTGCACCTGTGCACATCCTTCTGCGTACTTTAAATCATCTCTAGATTATTTACAATACCTAATGCTATGTAAATAGTTAATGTCAAAGTGAAAAGTTTGTACAGTGTGTAGTGAAATGTTGGTCTGCCTGGCTGCAAGATTGCGATGACATGATTATGAGGACATAGAAACATGATAAACATCAACTTAAAACTAGATTATAAATAACTATAAGCAGCTGTAAATATGTGCGGATGATGCAATAATGTGACGGAAGTAGTGCAGTGCACTGATAAAATAAGGTGGGTGTTTGCATCTCAACTGTGCAAAGGGGGTAAGTGAGGGTGTACAGGAGTAGCACTGGGGGGGGGGGGCGGATGTGGAGGCCTTGTTTAGGATCCAGATCGCCTGGGGATAGAAGCTCTTTCTCAGCCTTTCAGAGCTGCTCTTCCGGCAGCGATAATCTCAGCAGAGAGAAGATACAGCTGGGATTCTGAGAACTATGTAAAGAGGACTTGCTTAAAAAATCTGTTCATGTTCAGTACAGACACAACCATCGTAGTACATATACTTAGCATAATTATTAATATATTTTTTGTCTCTCTCTCTCTCTCTCTCTCTCTCTCTCTCTCACACACACACACACACATACACAGAACTACATGTCACTTCACTCGCATAGATTCTGTGTACTGCACAGCTTGTGCCTAATTCAAGTTCTGCTTTTTGGAAGTTTCAGGATATTTTTTTTTTGAATGTTCTCAATCCGTGGTTAGTTGAAATCACGGATGCGGAACCTGCAGATACGGAGAGCCGCCAGCACAGGTGGGGCCGGGCTGGCCAGATGCTGTGCAGGGATGGCACAATTTCATCATAGGTATGGATTTGTGATGGGCCTGCAAGGCCAAAAGTCCAGGTTCCGTTTTTAATCCCAGTCCAGTCCTGCATTCATAGGGAGAGCAGGATTTGGTTCAGGGCAAACGGTCAGAAGATACAACGGTGTCATGGTCACTCTATTAATAAGGAATCTCATCTTCTGGACAGTTGAACAAGGACACAGTGATATAAAGCGCAACAGTATTTAGAAGATGCTGTGCAAAATGACAGTGAATCAGGTAGATGAGAACTGAATAAATATGTAAAAGGGAGGGATTGTTGGGCATGAGGGGGGGGGTCAAGTGTGGAATGACTGACAGGTTCCAGTGCAGGGAGGCGGGGGGGGGGGGAAAGAAGTCTGTGAATTGAGGAGCCCTGGGAACGAAGGTCACTCTCCTCCTCTGTGTCCTGCAGCCGGGACAGTGGAGCCGTCGTCCTGAGGGGAGCCGCTCAAACTCCGGGTACTGAGCATGGGAGGGTCCTGCAGAATCCTGCACGCTGCTCTTAGAGTTTGCTGCTCGCTCAGGGAGGAAAGTGCTCTGACCGGGAGTCCGATGATCTTAGAGCAGACTTTCACTGTGTTGCCAGGCGGGTCCTGGTGCTGCAGGCTGGTGGAGTGATACCAGCAGGTGATGGAGAAACAGTAAAAGGTTCTGAGTATGACCTTGTTGACCCAAAGCTGTTGAGCTTCCTTAGGAGATATTGCCGCTGCTGACATCTCCTTAGAATGTCCTCGGTGTTGGAGGCAAACTTTAGGGTGCAGTCGAGGATAGTGCCCAGATATTTGTACTCCTCCACCACCTCCACTATCTGCCCATAGATTATGCTGACAGAACCTGTCGTCCAGCTCCCTCTGTTTACTAGAGAAAGTCACCACTATGTCCTTGGTCTTCTCCACGTTAGCTCCAGGGAGGTGTTGTCACACCACTGCACAAACTCACTGAGCATTGAGCTGTGGTGATGTGAGGAGCCAGAGAGCGGAGACAGGAGAACTGCGTCATCCGCATACTTCACTGGCTGACAGTCTGGGTGGGAGGACCTGCAGTCATCGGTGTACAGGATGAACAGAATAGGTGACAGGACGCAGCCCTGGCTCGCATCTGCCCCTCGTTTACACCATGTGGATATGTGTTCCTGGCCCGCATCTGCCCCTCGTTTACACCATGTGGGTATGTGTACCTGGCTTGCAATTGCACCTCGTTTACACCATGTGGGTATGCGTGCCTGGCCCGCATCTGCCCCTCGTTTACACCATGTGGGTATGTGAGCCTGGCCCGCAATTGCCCCTCGTTTACACCATGTGGGTATGTGTGCCTGGCCCGCATCTGCCCCTCGTTTACACCATGTGGGTATGTGTGCCTGGCCCGCATCTGCCCCTCGTTTACACCATGTGGGTATGTGTGCCTGGCCCGCATCTGCTCCTCGTTTACACCATGTGGGTATGTGTGCCTGCCCATGCCCTGTTTCTCTCTCAGCTATTTTACTGTGTGAATCTGCTTGTCTGTATTCTATCTTGGATGCCCCTCGCTGCAAACCCTATTACAGGTCTTGTTAGATTGCTCTGTGTTTCCTTGTTTTCAGTGAAGTTCTTGGTAGTTCCAGTTTTTTTCTGCCTGTCTTTTTTTAGACTCCTTCTGTTCCCTTTTCTTTCTTGTTCTTTTGAGTTTTGCTCGTAATAAAGTTGCTTGTGTCCGGAGCCAGCAATTATGACTCATTGTTACAAATAGCCTTTTCAAAAGGGGACCCTGTGTGTTAATTCCACTGGTTTGGACATTACATGTTTCCAATCTTGTTTCTGGTTATTTTTAATTTCTTTTACCACAGTCACCATACTTCAATTAGGATTTTCATGAGAGTGTTACCTTTTGGCTTTCTGGAAGATTAATATACCTGATCAAACCTTCTCTCTGTGCACATTAGGGTGACGGTTGGGTTTCACAAGGCTACAGATGCCTCCTGTTAATATGTGGGGGGGGTCACCTTCAAACTGCTCACCATTGGATATTTTTTTAACTTTGCCAGGGCAACTGTGCCCATTTCTGATTGCAGGGCAGAAAAAACTCAAACACAAATGAGCTGAGCTGTGAAACCACATTCAGACATATCTTCAAATAAGGTTGCCCTCCACAGAACTTTGCTGAGCTGAGTAATACAGACGCTTGACTCAAAAAAGGTTGATTATTGGTGCTTAGGGTATAGCTTTGGGGAGAGTGTGTCACTGAGTGCCGCTTAGGAGAGCAGATGGAGACACAGTGGATTTGTTCTCTCGTACCGCTGTCTCCTAAGAGGAAGTAAAAGGGCCTCTTTCTGCACATGTCCATCTATCATGTTCGTAAAAAACAAAACATGAGAACCAAGCCTAGTCAATATGCTTAGACTGCTCCCAGTCAACTGACCATTTTAGTGTCCAAATGGCCCCTTTAAAGGGCTGTAGCATTGGGTTCATACAGTATATCAAGCAGGGCACTAAAGCTGGGGCTGTGTGTGTGATTCAGCACACTATTTACGTCTACTTTATCTGACCTTCTCACACACACACACACACACACACACACACACAAACACACATGTAGGGTAAACATATCCTTATGGGGACCGCTCATTCATTTCAATGGGAAAAATGCTAACGCTAACTATGACAACCTTAACCCCTACCCAGCCCTAACCATAACCATAAGTAACCTAACAAAATACAAGAGTTTTTGCATTTTAATTTTTTTTCATAGCAGTCACTGATTTTTATAAAATAGAGTTTTCCCTTATGGGGACCAGGAAACCGGTCCCCATAAGGGAAAAAAAATGGATATTTATCACGTTATGGGGACATTATGTCCCCATAAGGATAGGTAAACCCGCTCACACACACACACACACACTTACACAATGGCGGAGTACCTAAAAACAGTACTTGTGTAAAATTAGACATGGAAAATGGCTCTGGTAAGAGTTAAAAAACACCCATTAAAATACAAATTTAGTAAAAGTTTTGAAGTATCTGATATGGACAGTATCAAAGTAATTAGTCGGTATCAAATGTAGGCTTAATGTAATACACAAAAAGTGTAGGTAAAATTTACTCAGTTAGATACAATAGGAAACCGGTCCCCATAAGGGAAAAAAAAAACGGATATTTATCACGTTATGGGGACATTGTGTCCCCATAAGGATAGGTATACCTGCTCGCACACACACACACACACACACACACACACACACAAAATGTGAGTACATCTGGACAGAAACATTAAAATAAAATGTGTTCTCTCTTCTGCTTAGCTTACAGAGAAAAATCTGCATCCACTTCTGCATCTGCTGCTGAAAATGTTACTGGAGACTCATACATAGCACACGATTTAGAAACAAAGGTATTCAAAAAAGGCAAAGCTATTTTTGAACAGGCTTGCAGGATGGAAGGGGGCGGCCGTTTTGTCTTCCTGTGTGAAAATGAAGACGGAAAAAAACTCCTGATTGACATGACTATTAAGCTGAAAAGTGCACAGGAAACTGTACTCTTAACCACACAGAGCTGTGGTTTGTTAGATTAAAAACTGAGCAAAATTTTTTTTAAAAAAAAGAGTGGGGACCACAAGGTGACTGGACCAAAAGAGTAACGATTTAGATTTAGAGGAGCTGCCTGTACCGACATAGTCCCTGCCAACCCACGCACCATGACTTCTGAGGCTGGGCATGTCAGGAGTGACGTCGTACACCAATGTGGTCAGACACCCTCACCCCCAATGTGCTCACACGTCATGGGAAATGAACAATCACTAATGTTTCATAATGTAACAGTGTTACAGTTGCCTAAAATACACATTGAGCCTCTACTATTTCCCAGGCATTTCAATGTTGCATTAGATCCTTTTGCAAGGACAATAGTTATACATCAGGTTTCATTGACTGTAAGTGCTCATTTAACTGTGGTGGCAGCAGACTGACATTTACACTGTTGTGCTCTACAGATTGAAATGAGGAAGTAAGTTCTCAGAACTGGAGTTCCACACAGGGGCTGCGTCTGCTGGCAGGAACACACGTGTTTTACTTGATGTGTCCCTGAAGTCAACTGTACCTACGGATTGCCCCGCCAAACACGGTCAGGAGGCACTGTGACCACTGGGGTGGAAGACAGTCCGGCTAGAACTGGTACTGAGAAGATCTGGCAGACGGTGGTGGGACAGAGCCTAAGTGGAGAGAGAACGGGGACGCCATGGATGAATTCATCCAAAAGCAGGGGCCCTTGTACATCCAGCGGAAGAGGCTCAGGAGGGTAGGCTCCCAAACTTCATATCAGGTGTTCAGGAATTGCTTCTAATGGTCTTGTATGTGACAAGCTTGTATGAAGCTGGGGTATTTATTAGCATCGAGGAGTATTTATTATTAAATTTATTAGTCGAGTAGGCCAATATTTCAATCCTGCTGCTGTGGTCTGAGTTCTCTCAGGAGCTGAAAAGTCAGCCTTTGGTTAGACCCCACAATGTGCCGCGAGGTGTTATGTAGGCTATGTATGGGTTTGAAACCCCGAAATATTTTTAATTACTAATTTTTATTACCTGTAGCCTGGTAGTAAAATTGTAAGTCTAAACGCACCTTGAAATTTGCGCTAGCCCGCTACCACAGTTTATTTATTGCTATGGGCCTTGGCAGGGGTGAGTTGTTCCTGTTTCTGTAGTTTGAAAGGAGAGACAGGGAACTGCTGTCAGACAGTTCATAGCAGGATTTCCCAATTCCGGTCTTGGAGGGCAAGTATGCAGCACATTTTGCAGATTTCCCTACTCAGACACACCTACTAAACTTGGCAATTGGCTGGTGAGCTGAATAATGTGTGTTTGAGCAGGGAAACTTGCAAACTGGGTGCAGACTGGCCCTCCAGGACTGGAATAGGGGAACCCCAGTGTAATGCCTCTCATTTCGCCGATTGGCCGAATGGCCGAATGTCCTCATATAAAGATGAGACAGCCATATTGGAAAGTAAGGAGGGAACCGCAAACATGTTTTTAATTTTCTTGACAGAAAATAGAAAACAGAGGCATTTTAAAAGCGTGGAGCGTTTCGGCTTGGTGTTTTCGTGCTTACAGAAATGCTTCAGCTTATGTGCTCGGCATGTCTGTTGACGCACTTGAAGATATGTCATCTGGAAACCCAGTGACCCACAAGAGATGGGTGATTTTCTAGATGCCCTCCAAAGTATGTTCTGCATACAGTGCTGATTTGAACCGATATCATCATGTCAAAAATGTCCTCCTGCATTGTACCTCACAGTGAAGCTGAAGTCCTGCCATGAATCAAGCAAAACCAGCGAATTATGTTAAACTGGTTTCCTAACCCACAGAAGGAGTGATCCCTTCTGGATAGTATTATGTCATCAGTATATCTACTCATAGGAAAAACATTTAATAAAATATATGCAAATGAGCAGTAACAAAATTAAAAATCTATTCCGTCCACCAAAAAGTTACTGTTTTCCTCTTGGATGACTAGATGAACACAGCTTTGGGTTCCCTAACCTCTTCTCAGTGGCACCACAGCCATCCATGTATTTGTTACATTTCACCACCTGAACGTCACTTAATTAACTTATAAAGCATTTCATTAATAGGTTAAACCATTTAATGAGGTATTGATTAGCTATATATAGTATACTAGTCCTCAAGTTAACAAATACATGGATATATAAGATGGTTACCACAAATTCTAGGGTGATTTTTCGGAGAGGTGTCGAAATGGTAACACACTATGACAGATACAATATCATACTTATACACCAACATAAATTTCTTTGGCAGCTTAAGACTTTCTCACAGTGCTGTCTGCGATGCAGCTGGAGATGCTAACAGGCTGAAATTGCTACTTGTACTAAAACTTCCAAAGTAAAAAGGTCAAACTAAAATATTTCAAATGTACAAATTCTGCACTCTTTTTTGAAGGAAACCTTGTGTAGAAATCTGAAGACATTACATATTTTAGTTGCTTTGGGCAAGGGCGTAGGAGAATCTGATATTGGGAGGAACGCAACTTAAAATTTAAATTTAAAGGTCTACTTTTTTTGGAGGGGGGGGGGGGAATGAATGAAGCCAAATTAAATATTGTTGGGTCCATGTACCCCCCATCCCTGGTCCCCATGCCCCTGGTTCAGAGACAACTTTACCTACAGGAACAGAAGCAACATAAGGAGAGTTTTTAAAATAATATGGATTTTTTTTATGAGTTTTTGTATAACGATTTAAAATAATATGGATTTTTTGTATAACGGAGTTATGTAGTTACCCAGAATGACTTTCCAAGCTTACAACATGACATACCACTTGCACAGCAGGATACTGTTGCCATGGAAATTGTATTTAGGCAACTTTCTCAAGAGTTTACAGGAAGTGTCCATTGTGGGAACTGAATAGCATCTTTTTATAGTTACCAATCAAGGCCCTTAACCAGTAGTCTACCTGCAATGGAACTAAAGCAGCAAGAACTTTAGCTACATAACCGCAATACTTGCTACCTCCTCTTAACTCATGGTCACATGGCTGCTGCTGATGAGCAGAAGATGACTGATTGTTACTGATGCTTTGTAATCCTTATGTGTCCCCTGGCAGAGATGGGAAATGGTTTGGGCCATCATTCGACAGGAAAGCGGGTCTTCTCCAGCCCAAATGGAGCTCTTCGGGTACAAGGCACAGAGCACAAGCTGCCTGGAGGATTCTGGGAAAACCCTGGGGAAGCTAGACAGCGTGATTGTTCTGCGTGATGATGTCCATGTGGCGGCCGTGAGGTCAGAGGTGCCAGACTGTCCGACTGGGTGTACACCTTTTGTGTTAGATACTGCTGAAGACTCCTTCATGTTTGCCGCCTACTTCCCCGAGCTGGAAGGCTGGATCCAGAAGCTGCATCAGAAATCTTTCCCTGTACGTCCAGATTTCCTCTGGTAACTTTGGTTCCCATGTGTCACTTAATATTACACATAGGGCAGCACTCAAGACAAACACTATAAGAGAAAAAAAAATCACAAAAGCAGCAAAACCAATATAATGTTGTTTAGTCCTGGCATTTACTAAACTAATTGAATCCGGGATACTTGGCTGTATCTGAAATCTAATTAATATCACTTTTAAGTAGAAATGCACGGACTGTATCGGTCACCTATCGGTATTGGCCCGACACACAACAATTAGCCGATGGTTAAATATTAGTCGACATTTACCCCCGATAATTCCCTTTAAAATTGTGACACATATATAGATCCGTGTAGTAACAAGTTAGAAAAATGTATGATGTGTGGAATTTTAACGTTACCGAACACGACGTTAGAAATGCATTTTGCAGGCATTGCTCTGCTAAAATTATACGAGCAAGGTCGACTAAAAAATATTTAAACACAACAAATTAGATTGCTCACCGTAAGGCAAGACAGTGAAGAGTACGATGAGTTTCTAAAAAACGAATCCGTCCCAATAAGGGAGGCTGCAGTACGGCTGGATAACGGTAGCATTTGGTAGCAAAAGAAACTTAATGAAGACAATGCGAAGCCAAAGGATACTATTGAAAAATGAATCAAACTGTTATAAATGTTAGAAATATATAAGATTATAGACAGTTATAAAGTATAGTGCAGTGCTCTACGAATGTTGTTGTATGCCAGAGTTTGTTTTCTTGTCAAAAATAAATACTTCATATTTTTGGAAGGTAGGCTAATCAATTTATTTTTTTAAATTTATTTTGGTGGACTGCCTCTTCCAAACAATCGGTATTAGTGTTAGTTTTCCAAATAATCGGTTTATGTTTTTTCAGTGGCGCTGTTCACTAAGTTCTTTCTTACTAAACACGCCAGTTAATGCTTCTGTACGCCGTCTGTGAGCAGACGGCACCACCCAGGATTCACAGAAATAGCCATTTCAGCACAGACACCACAGTGCTGCAGGTTCTCCGACGTTCAAATCAGAGAAACACAACGTAAATAAAATAAGATTTAAATAACTGTTTCTGAAAATAATATTATATTATATTATTGTAATAATATTGAAACATTATCAACCAACTCATAAATTAAATTTAAATGCCGGCTATGTCTCGGCTCTTGTCCCTAAATTAGCACTTGTCATTTCCAATTTCATTGCAGTTGAGCTACCTGGAGTGTGGCAGGCAGCCGGAATTTTCTGGAGAAAACTCAGGGATGAGGGACAATCCCATCTACGACACGTACAACAATGGTAGGAGATGCTGTTTCACACCCAGGGGACAGAAACATAACAGTTTTATCATAGTTTTATCTAAAAAAAAAAAAAGTTGGGATTTTAAGTTTGTTTTTTTATCTAGTTTTAGTTAGTTTTCAATGTGGTTTTGTTAGTTTTTAGTATAACGATATATGTATATAGGCCTATATAGTTATTATATGGTGTACCGCCGGTGGGTTTTGGATATCCGTGTAAATAGCCCCTGTGTATGTATAGTTATAAATAACTGCTCTCGAGGATCGCGTGTACCTTTACCTCTAATCATGATGTGCTCTAGTACGTGTTGTATGACCTACAGCGTGTGAACCTTCCTGTCTAATGTGTGACCCCCCGGTGTTTGCAAACGCATTGCGTGTCCGCGGTCCGTTTAAGTGGCGAGTCAATCAGCGATACACGATAAAATGGCCTCTTCTCATTTTTCCGCCGCAGTACTTCGGTCAGTTCAGGGCCGCGATGTTTCATTTTCGGTATTAGTCATTTTTAGAGAAGCAGTGTGTGTGAGAATCCTACATGGATATGCAATGCACGTTAGGTACTAATGTCCTCAAATGGGGAAAAACATGTTTCAGATGTTATTAATTAGTAATTAAATATAAACATTACGGTAACTTTACTGTACTGGTCAACAAATAAGCATATATTAATAAATGAACTAATGCCAAAGTAACCATGAGTTAATGCATTTATTAACAATGTACACATCAGGAAATCAATAATTAATTTGGTCAGAAATGTAATAGGTAAGAAAGACATTTAGTAATGCTTAATCTTGTATGACTTCATTGGGTGTTAAGGTGCATGCTTCATGATTTCCTGATGTGTACATTGTTAATAAATGCATTAACTCATGGTTACTTTGGCATTAGTTCATTTATTAATATATGCTTATTTGTTGACCAGTATTGTAAAGTGTTACCAACATTACTTTAAGTAGTTAGTATTACAAATGACAATGGAAAGTATTTGACAGTTGTTTTTATTTTAGTTAGTCGGGATGCAATATTTATAGTTTTCGTGTAGCTTTATTTTCATATCTTATTGCATTTGTTTAGCGTTTTCTTGTGGTTGTAGTTTTCGTTTCCATAACGATAATATCCATGGTCCAGCACCTGTGAGTTCCCTGATCTACTCTTGGTGTCTCTAGTCAGTTGGAGTTAAGAAGGGACCTGTAGGCTCTGTGGGGTTTGTTCTGGTTTTACACTTATTCCGCAGACAAAGAAGGGACTTGGATCTCTGTGGCAAATGTTAGCAGTTGGTCTTCAAGTTTTACCTCTGAGAGTTTCTTTATATTTGGTACCAAGCTCTTTGATGTTGCCAGCATTTTCACAGCTGGACAACATAATATGCATTGTACTGCAATATTATTTCCATTCTCTTCCTTAAAAACAAAATAATTGCAAAATTTCCGCAAACTAAGTGGATTTTTTTGATGGGCATCCACCAGCAGCAAAGTTCTTGTCAAATGGAGTGAAACTAAATAAACAAACAAACAAACAAACAAATAAATAAATAATAAACAGTAGCAGAGTGATCTTGTGAGAGATGTTGTGCAGGAAATATCTTCCTATGACTTTATAGCAGTATAAATGCATCAGAATACCATTCTTCATTTTCAGATTTACTATAATATAACACAAAAGTAATCCTGATTTATTACAAATGTAACTGTAATCTGGTTATTTTTTTGTAACCAAATTCTTAATGCAATTCCTTGTTTTCTGTTACTCCTCAAGCCTGGATATAGGTAGCTATCCAAACACATGAATATATATATGTAGGATGAGAATGCTCATACATAAAGATTTATATATTTATATATCTTTTTATTTTGAAAAAGTTGTTTGCAATCAACTATAGAACAAACGCTTAACAAGAAGTTCTCGAATGAAACCAAACCACTATGATGTGAAAAATTTTCCTGCACGCACAGTCGGTGAGGTGCAGGACTGAGACCGCGCGTGGTGATAAATGAAGCGGCGGTTTTACGAAGCTCCTGAGAAGCTTCCTGGGAGTTCAGCGGCTTCCTGCTGTCGTAGCTGCTGACCACCTTCCCCACAAGGTGCACTAAATACCCAGATGCTCGCTGGGCTGTTTGCAGTAGCTTTCTTCCTGGGCCTTGTACATTATTGATGCAACTAAGATATCCCTTTATATGAAGAGACATCATATTAACTTTAATAGCTTTAAATTTCGCCCTTAATAGAATACCATATATATATGTATAGTACAGTATTCATTAAGTTCTCCCAGCTAAAGTGCCTGTTAGGTTTTCCTTCTAGAACATCAATATCCAGCGTTCTTCCTAAATAGCTGCATGACCTGCTGCCCTGAGTTGCTGACCACTGTACGTCTTTCCGTGTGCTGTGGCCTCCAGTAGACACAGACTTCGCGGCCAAGGTGAAGAGGACAGAAGCGGCAGTCCGCTGCGGTCTTCAGGGACCCTGTATCCTCACTGTCGGACTCAGGGACATCCTGCTGAAGAACCCCCTTACCCAGGAGGTGCAGTTTGCCTGGCCCTACCGATTCATACGCTACTTTGGATATTACAAGGTAAAGTGGAAAAAAAAAACAAAAACATATCCTTCCTACGGCCACTAGATGGTGCAAAAACAGCTTATTTTTCTTTTCTCGTATTGTCACGCTCGTGTACACACATTACTCCAGCACATCCTGACACTAACCATCTCCCTCCCGCCTTTCCCAGTCAATATTCTATTTTGAGGCAGGACGCCGCTGTGATTCTGGGGAGGGCAAGTTTAAATTCCAAACCAAAAAAAACCAGAGAATTTCAAAGGCTGTCAACACCGCCATCAACAAGCAAGTACAGGAGAAGTGTGTGAAGTCAGAGTCACCCATGCGGGACTTCAGTGGTCCTACTCAAACTTTTACTGCCACTCAGCAGCCACCTGCTGGGACCAGGGGCAGCAGCACGGATCGGGACAGACCGTATGTGCAGCAAGCAGAGCTACTTGCTGAAATGGCGCTTCCCATAGAACTTGGGGGCCTAGTGTTAGATAGCAAGCTGCCGCTTCAGCTTGACGGCGCCACGAAGCTGCTGCCAGGGGATCCTGACATGGTCTGCACTGCTGTGCCTGCAGAAGAGCAGCACAGTGGAGCAAACGCCTGGGGTTTGGCATCTGGGGAGGAGGAAGAAGAAAGACGCACGAACGAAGATTCGGCCACGGCTTGTGGCCAGCATCCCCTCATGTCTCAGGACGCGGGTTGCCAGACGCAGGGCCTGCAGGTCGCAAGGGAGAGTCTGGATTCTCTGTATGCCTCAGTCACAAAGAAAAAGGTCAGGGGGAGAAAGGAGACCTGCATGCTCACCAAAGCCGAATCTGCTTGCTCTTTGGGGACCACAGACTTCACCGAGAACCACGTGGCGGTGGAAGGCCTTGCTTGTAAGGTTCTGCTTCTGGAGGAGAACCTCATGGAGCCCTCAACGTCTCGAGGCTCCCACTCCTCAGATAGTAACTGAAATGACGATGGACTAATGTTGTTTTAAAAGGATGTGGTTTCGCAACTGTGTTAAATAAACACAAAAGAGAATAGTTTATGAGCTTTGGCTGGTATCGTCTGAAACCAAGAGGCACTCCAGTCAATAAAAATAATTAAAATATCAGCTGAAAACATATAAGGGCTTTCTGACCTTGGCTTTCAGATAGAAACTTAACAAATGGATTACTAAAGTTTTTCCTGTGGGTGGATTTTGCTGGCGGCCCTAGAGGAAGGTTTGTAAATCAGGCAACAGATCAATCACGTTGTAAGGTCATCGAAAATAACGGGTTGGTAAAGTTAACAAATCCCTTCAGAGGTGGGCAGTTCAGGTCCAGGAATTAAAAATCCAGACCAAGATTTTTGTTTCAGTCATCCAGTTGAGTATAAAGAGTCACAGTTAGTGCCACCTCTGAATCTCTTAAACCACAGTTTATGATGCAAGCATATTGTGTGATTATTAACTGGACAAAAAAATATTGAAGACACTGAAACACCTTCAGGCATCTACTCAGGATCAGGCAGATGATCCTCAGAAGGACAAATTTAGTAAATACTGGTTAATCCCCAGAGGCCTGCTTGCCACAGACACATTTAAAAATGATTATAGAAAAATTAATAAAAGTAAATACAGATATTTTTGTGACAGACAGCTTGTTGTTTAACAAAACCCAGTTTCATGAAGAGCGCTTTTATTTGTAATGTCTGTTTTTTTTTTGTTTTGTTTTTTTTTTTTAAATGCTGGTTGTCGGTTTCTCTTTGAGATACTCTTTTACTGATTCTGAAAATGCATAAACGTGGCCACCCTCTCTGCGTCCTGGGGCTCCTACGTCGGCACAGAGATGACGTCAGTTGTTAGTAACAGGGGAGTTGGGGCCACATGTGCGTGTGGGGAGGGGGCGTCGAAGAAATATGGCCCATCAGCACTACATTAAAGCAATTCTCTGCTGCAAACTAGTTAAGACACACAAAAAGCGGCATTTAGTAAAAGGTCACATCTCTTCATCAAGCACTATATAAATGTATATATAGAGTGGTTATCAATAAACCTAATGCTTTACTCTGTCCCCTGGTCCCGTGCCAATGAAGCTCGTCTGAGTCACACAGCCTTTCCTTCTACCTTCTCAAGGAGTCACAAATGCCAAAATGAACATTGTCCTTCAAAGCCAAAACATATGTAGCGTTACAAACTTGTTACTTGTTACTGGTCCTTACATGGTCTGAAATTTCACATCGATTTCAATGAAAGGTGACCCTCGTTTTAAGTGTGAGGACAATTTTTATGATTACGTTTGAAGTCAGAGACTTATGTCTGCATGTATTCGTTTAATGTGCTGCCCTTGTTCATGTTTCATAAAATGCGCTGCCTAAGGACCGTGTGTGTCTGTGTGTGCGTGTGCCATGCGCTGACGTAAAAGGCCTGATTTGCAGGCATGCAATGTCACCGAGTATGTGCTAGGGGGTGCTGTCTACCTTCAGAAGACATGGCACCTTCTTAGCCTCTGGAAATAATAGCATATGGTGCTGGATACGTGGTAAACTTTAGGGATGAATGTCAGATTCATTATGAAGTCATTACTCAATCGCTATCTGTGTTCCAAGTCACCGTTTAGCGAAATGCACCATCAGACACTTTGGGATTGTTGGGGGGGGGGGTTCCGTATGGAGTGTGTGAGGTAGCTTAGCTTTTTTACGTATGTGACTTAGCACTGTGGAGAAAGACCCCCCTCCCTCCCTCCAGTAACTTTCCCCTAAATGCTTCTGTGTTACACAACCATCTGCAATGGGAGGGGCTGATCCGCGCTGGAGGCCCAGTCCCCGGAGCTGCCTGGTATGAGGAGTGCCAGGTCCCAGTTAAAAAAAACGAAATGTTCAGTCCAGTTCGGGCCTCCCACAGATCTGCCCAGATTTCCCCGTGGTCGTTTCTCAAGGTCGAGCGTGAAGCTACCGTCCTCCTGTGCTCCGGCTTCTCAGAGGAAGCCTAGCTGAGCGGCGCTGGCAGAATCTCAAGCAGCGTCAGGCAGACGTCACGCGAGGAAGCCAATGCGTAAGTGGACAAGGTGGGGAAATCAAAGTGGCAACAGGCAAACAGCCCCCCCCCCCCACTCTGCCCCCCTAAACAACAAGAAGCATCCTGATTTGGTCTCAGTGGGGGCCCCGCGCTGCTGCTACCTGCCAGCATCACAGAGGCTCTGCTCCTGATGTGATTTCTAACTCACTGGACTCTTGACTCAATCTCCCTGAACCTCCAACCCCCCCCATACATTTCATGGCAGTTCTCGAGCGGCTGCACGGGTGTCGTGACCTGTTTCGGGCTTGTAATTTCCTTCGGCAGGGGGAGAGGGACACCCAAAGCTCCCGCCAAGCTATTTGGTTAATGCTTCTAATGTTTGACAACTTCGTCAGGATTTGTCATCAAATTCAATCATAAAATTCCTACTATGCTGTTTGGGTTGAGGGATGCTTTTACTGAAAATGAATCGGGTGAAACGTGGTTGCGGCAGGACAGATCAGGGCTTGATTACGGACACTAAGTGCCCCTGGGCGACAGTACCGAGAAGGACCAGTGACCCACCAAGATGTGGCTCTGTATCCCTACGCATGACGTCACGTCAGAAATAAACAGAGCTGATTGGTGGAAAGGCATCTAATGCAGGGAAACCATTGCATTGGCTTTTCAGTGAGTTCCCTATTAAAAGAACGATAAACAATCATATTAAATACATTAGATATTAAATTGCATTACCTTGTTTGTGAATGGGACGGGACGGGACGGGGGCTGCTGCCCCCCGAGGATGTGCCCCCAAACATCCACATGGTTAAACCGGGCCAGAGACTGGAGAATGGAACCCAGTGGCATGGGGGCATGGCACCGAAACAGGTTTTATGGTTAGGGTTAGGGTTCAAGATGGGGGGGGGGGAGTTATGGTTAATGGGAAGAAGAACTCAAACCACTGTCAGGGTCCAGAGAGACTCTGGGAAAACAGTAACTGACCATTTATGATAAAAAACACCCTGGGTCTCATTTTGGGGGTGTTTCCCCCCAGGGAAACTGCACCGCCCAGTTTCACCCCATCGGAGGTGATCCCGGGGGGTGGGGGTGGGGGTTGCTAATTCTGTTCCCTTAGGTAGCCAGCCAGACACCAGATTCACATGACTTTGTAGAAGGATGATACACCCCCCCCCCCCACCGCCACTGCTCTAAGGTCGGGGTCTGTCCTGATACTGTTCCGTGGCCAGAATTCCACTGGGCCGCAAAACGCCAGGGATTTTGCAGAGCAATTGGTTAATTTCCAACACCGTATGTTTTCATTTTTTAACGCTCCCTCACTTGTGCATTTTGAAAGAAATGGAAACTAGTATTAACTATTAACACTACTAGTCGCCCCACCCCACCCCCCCATTTTAACCAGCCTGTGAGTTTTTTATACAACATTAACTGGTGCACGGACATCAAAACTTCAGGAATCCCTACTCTAAGGTCTAAGAGAGGTTTTAAAAATCTGGGCATTTTTCAGGTCAGAAACCCATTGTTTGAAGCTGCATATCAGCAGCTAACCTCAGCCGGGGTGGTGGGGGGGGGCTGACCCTCAGTTCTGCTAAAAGATGAAAGACTGTAAAATGTGGGGAATAAAATGAGAATTTCCAGTTTTTATTGCATTAGTCTTTTAAAATTATAAATTCAGCAAAGTGTCTTTGGATGTTTAAACGAGTGACTTGAACCAGATATTATAAATGGGATACCATTTAATTACAGGCAAATAATTATGATTTCAGATTAACCTCAGTGGATCAGTGAGGCTCTTGAGAAGAAGCGGCTCACAGCAATATGATTTCATGAGATACTGGAGGTACAAGGCTTCAGCACCGCCTTGCATAGATGCCCTCTGTCCTCTGATATGAATTAGCTTTTCATACCATTATTAGTTAGGAGAAAAATCTGTGGAACACGGGTGAGTAAACTGTAATTGCTATCAGCCTGGTCTTGTTGTGGTGATCAATAAAACCAGTGTCCCCTCAGTCATGTGTTCTTTGTTCTGGTTGGGTCTGGATGCAGGAACCCTGGGAGAATACAGTCCTCCTTAAAGCCTGGTTGGATACCATGTTTGCTTCACCTTTATTTTTGGTGCTTATTCCCTCAGCTCAGCACCCAGCCGCAGACACCTGCAGTCTGTTGCCACTTGCAGCTGAATTCAATCCCTTTCTGTCTGCTTGTCAAAATGATAACAACGTAGAAACTCATACATATGTGTGAGCTGTGTGTTTCCCTACCTTCTGTCTGCAGAGGGAACCATCGCTAGAAGCCAAGGCAGGTTGTTAATATCTGGGTGACATAAGTGGAGAAGAGCAGCAGAAGCAGAGGGGGTTGGAGAGCCTGATGCCAGGCGTGAGAAGCCTATCTAGAGCTATGAAGGGCTGCAGAACGTCAAATTCCTGCATATAAAACCATTTCAGGGACTAGCGCTAAGGTTCCTAGGGACCGTCTGCAAACTCCCCCACCTTAATTTTCTTTGATTTAGTTGTTGGTCAGGTAGACAACTGGAGCTCTGATGAAATGTATGACGTGTAGCGTATGAAGACCAAGTACAGCTGTACTCCAGCGCAGAAGGTTTGTGTGGTGTGCTCGTGATATTCTCGCTGGTTATGTAAGAAGGAAGGGGCTTCTTCAGGATCTGTGACAGGATGAGGTATTTTTATGGAGCTACAAACAGACGACTCTGCTGTTTGGGTGTCATTAGTAAATTCTTTGTTAGCTGAAGCGCCATCTCAGAACACCAAGTGTCAAACCTGATCACCTGACCCAAGGACAAAGAAAATATGCCTCATGCTGTGAAAATGGTTGGGAAAATCTGGTTAGTCATGTGACCAATGCACATAACACCTTCTGTAAGAGTCATGAAGTCCCTCCACCTGTCCTGCTCACCCGCCCTCCCCCCGAGAGCAGCCCTCCGTGTTACTGATCCTTCCACACCATCTCCCATCAAGAAGAAGCTGTGCAGCAGCTCTCCGCAGCACAACATCCAACCGCCCTTTCTATTGCTCTATCGCTTTCCATTCTGGCACAGCAAAGCTCTCGGTGACTCAGGTCTAAGAGAGGCAGCAGGTCCCAATCAGCTCCCCCTGCAGTGCTGCTCTGTTAGCACAGCGAGAATTCAGGAGTCTTCTCAAAAAAGCCAGCCGCATAAAATCTATGTGAATTCTGAAAGGGGGGGGTCATTATCTTTGGGATCTTTGGGACTGAAGTGCTTTTCTGCTCAGCACTACTAGTGCACTAAAGTCTAAATCTTTTCTCCAATGGGGGGTGACACACCCCCTTCCCTTTAACTGGTGAAATGATTCTGCTTAGCTCACAGATGACATTCTGGGCAAACGGGGATGCCGCTGTGTCATCTGTTTACACTGCTGCCTGAGACGCGGCTCCTGCCCGGAGTTCCACACATCTCCGGCCCAGAAGCAGCAGTCAAAGGCATGTCTCAGCTGACTGACGGCACGTCGCGATCCACATGCAGTGGATGTGTCCATCACGGCCGAATCCGGGGTATGGGATTCTGCGATCCCAGCATTTTTTACACCTTTCTTTTCTGATCCAAGAATGGGAATTGCTGGAGGACCTTTGAGCGTGAGTATGGCGCAGGCGTGAGAATCTGAGTGCAGCCGTGCAGTGGGCGATACCTCAGCTCCACACTGAGTGTGAGTTCTGTCCAGTGGCTGGACTGCCAATCCTGCCACCAACCCCCAGATTTCCCAGTATGTTGGAGGACCTCAGCTATAGAAAGACTAATAAAACAAATTTACAAAAATAGTGGGGAGATCCTATCAGCAATGCTTGAGTCTACACTGGTGCAGAAACGTATATACTGTAGAGTAGCAGAGATGTCTCAGGACAGCTCTGTGTTTTGACGCAGGACAGCTCTACACAGGAAATGCTGTGTAATGAAGCCCACAGGGTGATAAACGTCCTCCTTTGCCCTGCCAGGCTAATTGTTGTCCTGTGCAGGTACAGCGCTCATCCGCCCTATATCATCACCCCTCCAGTTTCATTACATCAGTGTGTGTGTCCCTCT